ACAGATCAATGGAGATTAATCATACAAGTAGATGGACAGATGAAAAAAATGGATAGATGGATGGGTGGATGAAAGGAAAGAAGAATAATAACTGCATACACTAAGTATACGAAGATAAATTTTAAGCTTTGGAGCTAGAAGCATCTTTGAAGTTCGGATATAAAGATCTACCTGGGGGGGAAGAGGACGCAAATATTACATAATAAACAGTGTCTGAGTAGATGTCATCCCTGTGGCGCACCAGGTGAAGCCACCCATATGCAAGGGCTGACCCAAGTCCCAAGTGTCATGTTTCAACGCCCCACTCTCGTAAAATAATAATAATTTTGTACCTTCCCATGTCTCTCCCAACTTTTAATACACCCTTCTTTTCCTCACTTTTGGTAAAGACTCTTTCTTATGTTCAACCTGCCTTCCTCCCTCCTACCATCCAGTGGGCAATGGCCCAGGGAAATGACTCCACGTTTACACTATATCCCTGCCTTTTTTCCTAAATCAAGAATATCACTGCTCCAGGAACATCACTTACTGCTTTATCACAACTTTGTTCTTCTCGATGGCACAGTCCCCATCAATATTAAAATGTGCAACAGCAAACCTCGTGGTCTTAAAGGGCTTCGTTTCTCTTTTTTAAGATTTATTTATTTTTATTACAAAGTCAGATATACAGAGAGGAGGAGAGACAGAGAGGAAGATCTTCCTTCCGAAGAAGAAGCCGGGAACCAGGAACCTCTTCCAGGTCTCCCACACGGGTGCAGGGTCCCAAAGCTTTGGGATGTCCTCAACTGCTTTCCCAGGCCACAAGCAGGGAGCTGGATGGGAAGCGGGGCTGCTAGGATTAGATCTGGTGCCCATATGGGATCCTGGCGCGTTCAAGGAGGGGACATTAGCTGTTAGGCCACGCCGCCGGGCCCGGTCCATTTCTCTTGTTGTCTCTCTGGGAAGTGTTGTTGAAGTGTTTTCTATTTCCCCTCTGCTGACCACCTGCTGACCACCTGCTGGCCACCTGCTGACCACCTGCTGACCATCTGCTGGCCATCTGCTGACCACCTGCTGGCGACCTGCTGACCACCTGCTGACCATCTGCTGACCACCTGCTGACCACCTGCTGGCCACCTGCTGACCACCTGCTGACCACCTGCTGGCCACCTACTGACCACCTGCTGGCCATCTGCTGACCACCTGCTGACCACCTGCTGGCCATCTGATGGCCTGTTGTCATAATCTTACCGTCACCACTAGCATGAGGGAGCTCTTGCCAGGGCCGCCCATGACATCCACTCTGTCAAACGTCATGATCAATTCTCAGCTTCTTCAATAGGTGAAGCTCTCCTCCTTCACTCAACTGAGTTCCATACATGTCTTTTGAATGTAATGTGTCTCAAAATTTTATCCATGCAGAATTAACCCCAGATATCCCAAGTATAAATGTCTGAAAAGGGGGCTAGTTTAGCATTTTTCATCTAACTTTTGTGCAAGTTATAGAGGCTTAGTCAAGACTGCATTGAAGGTCCCAGCTTCTTATTCCAATACTCTGTGACTGCGGACATATGACTGTTAATTCAGTCAGTATATTTTTTCATCAAATCCCCAAAAATTTGTTGATGAACTCCATCATGGGCATGTAAATTTAGATTATTTAGATTATTTAGATTATTTTCTCAAATATACAATGAATTAAATAAAAGATGTTAATTTATTGCTAATTATCATACAAAATACAAAGTGATCATTGTCTTACTAAGATACAGAGAACTAAGGGAGTTTAGAGAAAAGACATTTTTCACTAGAGAATATTCTAGGAAATCATGTGACAACATTAAATCTTGAGCTACTCCTTAAAGAAAACATAGAACTTAGACATGCAGGCAGCCAGAGCTGTTAAGCCAACACCTGTAGCACCAGAAATCCATTTGGGCACTGGTTAAAGACCCAACTACTCCACTTCTAACCCAGCACCCTGACAATGTGCATGGAAAAGTGGCCCAAGTGCATGGGCCCCTGTACACAGGGGAGACCCAGCGGAAGCTTCTAGCTACACACTCCAGCCATTGTGGCCTTTTGGGGAGTGAACTAGTAGATGAAGATTTCTTTCTATCGCTCCTCTCTGTGTAACTCTACCATTCAAATAAAAATTAAGCAAAACATTAAAAAATAAATAAATAAAAGCACTTAGGAAAGCCAAAGAATGCCGACGAATAAGCAAAGTTGAAGGAGTCTCATCAACTGATTCCAAGACTTATTCCAAACCTCCCATAATGAAGACAACATGGAGCTGATAAAAGAATAAGCACCTAAGTCAACAGCGCAGAATACAGAGTGTACAAACAGACTCTCACAAACAGAACCAATCAACTCAGCTTGGATGCAAAGGCAGTTAATCAACATAGGGATATTTTTTCCTAAACAATTATACTGAAGCAATTCAACATTCATAGAAAATGTTTGACATGTAAATTAGGCTAAAACTTTCATGGAACATATTGTCTTCAAATAAAAGTGAACTAGAAAGTTTCCAGTTGATCTAACATAAGACAACCTTTGTAAAGAAAGCCTCAAAGAGGTGCTAGTTAAATTCTCAGCCAGACATCTGGCAGCCAGCACCAGCCGGCACCAGCCGGCACCAGCCAGCACCAGCCAGCAGACCTATAATAGGCAGGGGAGGCTTCTGCATGTCATCTGATGCAACTTAGCTGTAAATTTCAGTTAGAACACTTGGTATACTCTGTGGGTGGCAGTGACTTCAGATGATAGTAGGTTGCCAAGATCCAGTAAAAGCAGCTGAGATGAGAATTTGATTATAGAGAAGAAGCTTCCCCTGCACCTAAACCTTCTCAACTTTAGCAAGGGGAAAGCATAACATTCACTTGAAAAGCAGAATGACAGAAAAGGGGAGAGAACCACCTTTCATCTATAAGTTCACTCCCCAGATGCCCACAATGGCCAAGGTTGGTCCAGTACAGCTAGGAAACCAAAACCACTCAGGTCTCCCAAGGAGATGGCAGGGGGCTGATGATTTGGGCCCCCTTCTGCTGCTTTCTCAGATGTGTGAGAAGGAAGCCAGAACAAAACTAGAGGTGCCAGGACTTGAACCAGCACTTCATATGGGATGCTACTGTTACAATCAGCAGCTTAATATGCTGCACCACAATGCCAGACCTTAGGAGATGAAAATTTTAAGCAACCAGTGAATTCATATGCCCTTATCCTGCAAGGCACAGAGATGAGGCTCATACTGTGGGATGCCCAGATAAGCATCACAAAACCAACACATACAGGGCAGGGAGCAAGCCATTAGTCAGCTTAACTTGAAATCATCTGGCTCAATGATCACTTCCATCAGATATCCAAATTTGACTATAGCTGTTTTTTTTTTAATTCATTTATTCTTAATTGGAAAGACAGGTTTACAGAGAGAAGCAGAGACAAAGATCTTACATCCGCTGGTTCACTCCCCAAGTGGCCACAACGGCTGGTGCTGCGCCGATCCAAAGCCAGGAGCCAGGAAGCTCTTCCGGGTCTCCCATGCAAGTGCGGGCTCCCAAGGCTTTGGGCCGTGCTCAACTGCTTTCCCAGGCCACAAGCTGGGAGCTGGATGGGAAGAGGGGCTTGAGTCCCTGCTACTCAAATGAGAGGAAAGGATGGCTGCTGCCTTTGGCCTGGTTCAGACCTCACTTTTGTGGCCATTTAGAGAGTGAATTTGTGGATGGAAGACTTTCTCTCTCTCTGCCTTTCAAATAAGCAAATTAATCTTTACCACTAAGTACACACATGGGAGCAGCAGGGCTTTGGCACAGTGCTCGGCTGCACCTTGGATGCCCACATCCCATTTTAGAGTGTTGGGATCAAGTCCCAGCTGCTCCACTTCTGATCTGGTTCCCTGAGAACATGCATCCTGCAATGCAGCAGCTGATGGGCCAAGCACTCGGGTCTCTGACACTGTGTGGTAGAATAGCATTGAGCTCCAGCCTCCTGATTTTGGACTTGCCCCTTCCTTCCGACTGCTGTAGGCATTTGGGGAGTGAGCCAGCACATGGGATATCTCTCTCTCTCTCTCTCTCTCTCTCTCTCTTTCTCTCTCTCTCCCTCCCTCCCTCCCTCTGTGACTTTCAGATAAGATGAAAGCCAATTAATTATTTTTTATTTATATATGTATATATTTTTTTTAATTGGAAAGTCAGATATACAGAGAGGAGGAGAGACAGTGAGAAAGATCTTTCATCCGATAATTCACTCCCCAAGTGAGTGCAACGCCGCAGCTATGCCAATCCAAAGCCAGGATCCAGGAACTTCTTCCAGGTCTCCAACACGGGTGCAGAGTCCCAAGGCTTTAGGCCATCCTGGACTGCTTTCCCAAGCCACAAGCAGGGAGCTGGATGGGAAGTGGAGCAGCCAGGATTAGAACCGGCACCCATATGGGATCCTGGCGCATTCAAGGCGAGTAGTTTAGCCACTAGGCCATGCCGCCAGGCCCGCCAATTAATCATTTAGCTAAAATTTAAAAATCCTATGAGGGAGGGAAAGGGTCAAGCATTTTGTAACAAATTACGCTCTAAAGCTAGGTCTGCTGGCAGATCAGCCGTAGCTTCTTCAGATAGATCAAGGCTGTTTTTTTCTGGCCACAGACAGTTACGTAGAACCAATGGTGTTTATATAATTGCCAGGACTTCTAATTTTTGCTATCTAAATCCTGTCCCTTAAGTTTGTGTTCCTACGATGCCAGCAAAGACTAAATACCGGTGAAGCTAAAGTCATTTCGTAGTGAAGACTAGAGAGGAGAACAAGGAAATGTGGGAAGCAAAATTTTATGAACTTAGCGTCACAATCCAGACTCCAGATTTGAGACAACCAATCAACATAGATGAAATCCTTAGGCCTACTTCCTAAAGGTTCCCCAAATTCTCACACCATCCTGAGCTATGCCTTTCAAAAGATGAGGGTTGACTCCGCAAGCACTTGTCAAGTTCTTGGAAATTTGATGGAAAACAGTATATTTTAGATTCCAAATTTTATTAGCAACACATAAAGACATATGCATCCCACCCTACTGCCTGCTGAGTTCTCAAAGAACATCAAAAGTGAGAATGGGTCGAACGTTTTAGATGAACACAGATTCAACAAATCTTTTGCTTAAATTAATGAAGTCCAAAATATCACATGGCTGTTTTACACTTGATCCGTTCTGCGTGCTGTAATTCATCCAGAACATCTCTGACGGTCTCCACACAAACTTCTCCTCTGTGATGTTTTTTCGATGCAAGATTCCATACAGTTTCAAATTCTTCATCAGAGAGCTCAACACCAATGTTATGTAATATCTCAGCAATCTATGAAAAAGCATTTAAAGACCAATATTTATGTTTTAAGATTTGTATTTTGGGCCTAGTGGCATGGCCTAGCAGGTAAGATCCTCGCCTTGAATGTGCCGGGATCCCATATGGTCGCTGGTTCTAATCCCGGCAGCTCCACTTCCTCTCTATCTCTCCTCCTCTCTGTATATCTGTCTTTGTAATAAAAATAAAATAAATCTTTTAAAAATATATTTTATAATATCTAAGAATACAGTTTTTTAAATGTGTGTACACATGTATGTAAAATAAGAAAAATATCAGAAATCAGAACTTTCAGTTCAGGAATAAATAATATCCAACTATACCAGCTAGTACACAAATTCAATTCTGAGCGTTTTTGGTCCTTTTAAAGAGAAGCAAGGTTCGAGTAAAAAGAACTAAATCTAGAAGACCTAAGAGATTCGGGTTACATCTCAGTTCCCTTTTGCCCTGTGATCTTACACAAACCCTATAGACCTTTTGAGTGTTAAAGGGTTTTTTAAAGTATTTATTTTATTCTTATTTAAGGCAAAGTTACAGGCAGAGAGAGGGAGAGACAGAGAAAGAGACCTTCCATGCACTGGTTCACTCCCCAAATGGCCACAATGTCTGGAACTGAGCTAATCTGAAGCTGGGAGCAGGAACTTCTTTCAAGTTTTCCACTTGGGTGCAGGGGCCCAAGGGTTTGAGCTGTTCTCTGCTGCTTTCCCAAGCCACATGCAGGGAGCTGGACCAGAAGCAGAGCAGCCAGGACTTGAAACGGCGCCCATGGGTAATGCCAGTGCCTCACACAGAGGTTTAATCTACTATGCACAATGCCAGCTCCTTGAATGTTCATTTTCAACATCATCTTTAAAGTAGGATTCTTTTATCTAATTGACCTGTTGCAAACTATACTAGTAACCGTAGCTATAGAGAATGTGGCAACAGGACACAGTGTCGTAAACCAAAACACATTGCTGATAATCCAAAGCGTGTAGTAGCAGCAGACATTCAGGGCGCAGAGTGGTCTTCCTCATGCTGTCTTGTGGGTTCTGCAGGTCCAAAGCCATCAGCAGCTTATAGAAAGAAACAATTGATCCTTTTGCCTTTTCTCAACTAAAAACAGTGCTGAGTTTATTTCTTTGTAATACAAGGAACTTAATATATAACATGAGTGAGATGCTTCCTTTCAAATTCTACTTCAAAAGCAGTACCGGAGGGGCTGGCACCACGGCTTTGTAGATAAAGCTGATGATGCCTGTGGCACTAGCTTTGGTTCAAGCCCCCGCTGTTCCACTTCTGTTCCAGCTCCCTGAAGCAGAGGATGACCTAAATGCTCTGACCCCTGCGCCCACCCATGGGGGAGACCCAGAAGAAGCTACTGGCTCCTGCCTTTGGATCAACCCAGCGCTGGCCACTGCAGTCATTTGGAGAATGTTCTGTACCTCTTCTTTTGGCCTGGTTTTGAAGAGGTCTCTTTCAAACACCCCTTTCTGGGAGAAGATGGTGGGGTGGAGCAGTGAGTAAGCGTTGCCCTCTTCTCCGTAGTTGGTTCTGTCACTGATGCGACGGATTCGGGGTGCAGGAATATCAGATCGAACGGTTGGTATGCCACAAATAGGGTAACCTGTTGACAAGGGAGAAGACAGACCTTCTGCAGTTACAGTCACCTGCGCCTCAGATGACTACATACTTGAACTACGTCTGAATTGCAAACTGCTGAATATATAAAAATATTAAAATATAAAATATAAAATATAAAATATATAAAATATAAATATATAAAATATATAAAATATATATAATAATATATAAATTTATATAATAATGATTTATATATAATAATATATAATAATATTATTATAATAATTTATATATAATAATATATAAATTTTTATATATAATATATATATTATATATATTTATATATAAAATATTTAAATTATATATATATTTTATATATATATATATAATATATATATATATAAATTACTTGAAAGGCAGAGTTACAAAGAAAGGACAGGCAGAAAAGGAAAGGTCTTCCACCTGCTGATTCACTTCCCCAATGGCCACAAAAGCCAGAACTGGGCTGGCCCAAGGCCAGGAGCCAGGAGCTTCCTCCAGGTCTCCTACATGCGTGCAGGAGCCCAAGCCCTTCAATTATCCTCTGCTGCCTTCCCAGGACTTTAGTAGGGAGCTCGATCAGAAGTGGAGCAGCCAGGACTCAAACCAGTACCCATAAGGGATGCCAGTGCTACAGGTAGAGGCTTAGCTTGCTATACCACAGCACCAGGCCCTCCCTTCCTTTTTAAGCGTTATCTTTTTAAATATTTATCTTTTGTTTTTATTTGAATGACACAGAGAGAGAATCAGAAGTGAAGTGGACAGCACTAGAAACAGGCACTCTGGGAGGAGAGGCAGGCATCCCGCATGGCAAGCTAACCTCTGTGCCAATGCCCATCTGTATTTCTATTATTGTACTTGAAAGGTAGAGACAGACAGGGCTCTGCCATCTGCTGCTTCTCTCCCCAGATGCCAGCGGTAGCTGGGGCTGGGCGAGGCAGAAATCAGGAGCCCAGAATTCCATTCAGGTCCCCTCTCCAGGTGGCAGAGACCGCCAAAGCCGTCATTTCCTGTCACTCGGATACGTGTCACTCGCAGCAAGCTGCACGGAAGGCAACGCGCAGACTACGACCCAGGCACGGAGTCCTACGTGGTGGCTGAATCACTTGCTAAATGCTTGCTCCCACATTTCCTTTCTTGATGTGGCATTTTTTCATTGCCAGAATATTCTAACATGCATCGAAAACTCCAAATATATTTCTATCAAACATTGCAAATTCTAACGGGAATGGGAAGATTCATTACACTAGAATGGGGACTCAAGGCCTTGAGAACATGAGCCTAACAGAGAAGGAAGCTAAGAAAATGCAAGGACTGACTACGGACGCTTGGTTTCCGTGTTTACTGATCACTTAAAAACCTGTCCATGGGTGTGGCATCCTTACAAATAGCAGGAACGCCTCCGACCACAGCATTGATCTCAGAAGAAGTTGTCCTGTAATGCTGAGAGACCCTGTCGCTGGGTCTCAGGAGTGTCCGAAGAGTTTTCTCTGAGCTCCCGGGCTCTCTCAAGACAATATCTTCAGGCTTTACCAGGAGGGTTGGTTCTGATTCTTCAAAATTAGTCTCAGCGGGCTTTGAACAATCTGGCTTTCTACCTTTAAGAAAAAGTAAGAAGGAAAAAAAAAGTTCAGTAAGATACTACCAGTTGGGCCCAGCATGATAACATAATGGTTAAAGTCCTTGCCTTGAACGCCCTGGGATCCGTATGGGTGCTGGTTCTAATCCCGGCAGCCCCACTTCCCATCCAGCTCCCTGCTTATAGCCTGGGAAAGCAGTCGAGGATGGCCCAAAGCTTTGAGACCCTGCACCTGCATGGGAGACCCAGAATAGGCTCCTGGCTTCGGATTGGCTCAGTTCCAGCCACTTGGGGAGTGAACCATCGGACGGAAGATCTTTCTCTCTGTCTCTCTTCCTCTTTGTATATCTTTCCAATAAAAATAAATAAATCTTTAAAAAAAAAAAAAGATACTACCAATTGGTGCTGTAACTACAAAATGAGTTTTCTCAGTACATTTCTTCTTTTCAGTGCAAACAGAGCTGGTGGGAACCTTGCCCCGATGCCAGCACCCTGCAGTGGGCTAGTTGCAAGTTCATGCTAATGTCACATAGCAGGAAATAGGAACATGGCCTAATGGTTCACAACCTTTCAAATCAGAGAGACTAAGTGAACGCAACAAATATGCTATTTTGATTTTCTTCTCTTGCTTCTTCTTTAATTAGGGTTTGTTTTCATGTTTAACTCGAATCGCATGTTATTCCCAGCTGTATCCTAGGGAGAGACTGGAGAAGACATTATTTGGAGTTGAAAATTCCACACATATTTGGTGGGAGTGGAAGAAGCATGCATTGCGACATCCAAAGAAATTCTCAGAACTCCCTGTGAGAACAGAAAGGGATATTTTCAGTAGCCCTCCGTAATTAAGGTATCAAACAAAACCTCAAAGCAGAACTGAAATTGTAAGACTGTTCTCTCTCACAGATAGATTTGCACTGATCTTTGTTATTTTTTTTTTTAATTCTTACACTTAAGGGTTTTTCGAACAGATTCAACACAGGTCATAGGTCATAGGTCCAATTCCAAGAGTGATGCTCCCTTTCTCCCACACTCTCCCTCTCCCTGAATTTTTTTTTATTTTCCTTTTAAAATGTTTTAAATTGTTCGGAGGGATGTATGCACACATTCTTGGGATGGGGAGGTTCAGATACGAAGCAAGGTAGGTGGGATGCGTTTCAGTCTCTTCTCCTGTGTCCACAGAGGAGGAAGAGAAAGGTCCTTGCTGTCAATCTACAGGACGGAGGACAAGCCTTTGACGACCCCGTGGAGAAGAGTGTCCCCAGGGTGTTACTTGAATGGTTACAATAGTTCTGAAAAGTTGCTGATTTCATTGCTCCAGGGTTCAGAAAATCTTTCCAAGGTTTATGGGTTCACAAAGTCCATCTAGTGCATCAGTGGACCCAGACCCAGACGCTTGCTGCAAAGCTTGACCGGGAGAGTTGTCCAACCTGTTCTGCTTTCCCTCCTCTGAAAAGGCAGCTGACATCCTCTGCTGGCCCAGGTGAACTGGCTGTCACGTCCCCGGGTGCAGCTGGGCATGCTGCCCACTTCACAGGCATCAGAGACTAACAAGGCCCAGTCCCAACACATGCACTCCAAGGTCAGATCACACATCCTGTGATTTTTCCCTGTGGCCAAGTTTCGGTCCAGTAGTCTAGTTGGGGAGTACCCCGCAAATTTTGTCTGGGGTGACCTCAGACTTGACTCTTGTGTATGCCAACCACTGCAGGGTCAGACGTGGTATGTCACCTGAACCAGCCAACATGTGGAATCAACTGCCTGGTCATTTCTGCCCCAGCTCCATATCTTGTGCAAACCAACAGGTGCCGCAGCACAGCCCACCCAGCCCACCATACACTTGGTGCTTATATATGCCAACAGATGCTGCCACCTTGTCCAGCCTGGCCCACTCCCAGACCTGGTTCTTGTGCTCACCAGCAATAGATACAGCCTATTGTACATGGTTCCCCTGCCAGGCATGTTCCCAGCCCTGGATCTCGTGCCTGCCAGGAGGTAGTGCAACCCAGCCTGACATGACTTGCACCCAGTCCTGGCACTTGCCACATGGTGCTGCAGCCTAGCTCAGTTGATTCACACCCACTCTGGCTCTCATGAGTGCCAGCAGGTCCAGCAGGCTCGCCCAACCTGGCATGTCCCCACACCCAGTTCACACGCATGCAAATGGGTGCTGCAGCCTTGCACAGCCTGGTCCACCCACAGGCCCAACTCTCACACTCACCAGCAAGAACTGCAGCCCAGCAAGGGAGCTCCCAGAGTCCCCCTACCAGGCCCACTCCACGACCCAGGTCTTGCACATGCTGGCAGATGCTTCAACCCAGCCTGGCATGGTCCACTTGCCTAAGGGCCACTAACTTGTCATTTTTAACCAAACATTTAAAGAAGAAAATTTCTCCTGAACTCCACTGACTGATAAAGCTGGAATCCAGAAATCAGAAAAAAAAAAAAGAAAGAAAGAAAGAAATCTGAAACATGATTGCTCTGACCACAGGTCTCTGCTTTCCTTCTATTCTTTCATGAATAAAACCAAGGTGGCAAAAATGCCATTATCCCTTCTTCACTCTGGGAGAGTTGAGTTGTCTTCTGTAAGACAGTGTCATTAGGTAAAGAATGTTCTAGCACTTTCCTAGTGGTGCTAAGGGAAAGGCTCCGATACTCCACCTAAGCTCTCACTTCAATAAAGATCAGACAAGAAAGATCAAGTTTGCATTGCACCTTGCAGAAAAGCCTGACCCGGGAACACCAAGTGAAAAGTGTGGTACCCTCTGCTTTTAGAGGAAAGACTTTCCGAGAGAAAATAAAAACATAAGCTTTTTAAAAAGTTAATACTGATCATTCAGGCACAAAAATTAAAGCAAGGTCTCGTTATACACCAACTAAATTACAAGGATGTTTGAAACAACACCCTACGGTAGCAACACTGAAATCAAATCTTCGCTCAGCTTGGGCTGAAAAGTTGCAAATTGGTAGGATCATTGGGAAAGGCGTAATGAAAACAAAGACAGTTACTTCTGGGACCATAACAACATTCAGAAGAAAGAAACTATAATTAGAAATCTTTTTCAGCAATGATAATAATAGCATAATCCATATTTCTATTTTTAAAAACTGGAAATAACCTAAATTTCAAAGAGTAATGAAGTAATATTCATACATCAACATGAGAGAACTGAATATAGAGTTTATGGAAAGCAGGAAAATATCTCTTCAAACTAACAGAAATTTTAAGGTCAATTTTTTAAAAGATAAAAATATGCCCACTGTAATCTTAGATATGCTTGAAATAGGAATTACTTAGAAAGATTTGAGGAAAATTGGAATTAAAAATTAAACTTATTTTGGTGCAAAAAAAAATTGTTAAATCCATGCATATCAAGTTAAGTTTCTGGAAAACAAATATTAGGAAAAAACCACACATGGATTCCAAAAATCTATCATCATACACATACTTTTTAAAGTGATTTTTCCATGAACTTTTTGAGGAACTATCCATCATATTTTGAGCTTTCTCATAAATGATCTGGCTTTTTTAAAATGAATAATACAGAATTCCAAACTCAAAAGATATAAAAAACAGATTAAAAATTAAGTCAGCAGAAATCAACATTATCCAGTTTCTTCCTATTCTTCCACAGGTATTTCATGCAAAAACAAGCAAATAACTAGGCAGATTTATAAATATGCATATTTTTATACAACAGTAAAGCTGGAAAGATTTAAGCTTTTTAAACATGCAGACATGAAGTGAAAATATCAAGACTCTGGTAGGCATTCAAAAATTAAATACCAAAAATAAATAAATAAATACCTTTAACAATGACCCTTTCCTCACACTCCTGAAGCAGCATTCTGTCCTTCCAGTTAAGGAAATTCGCAAACTCTAGGTAGTTAATGAGGCCGTCCTTATCCACGTCACAATAGTCCAACAGCTGGTCCAGGAGCTTCTCATCCAGATGCAAGCCAGCCTGCTCACAAGCTTCCCCAAGTTCCACCTTATCTATCACCCCGTCTCCCTTCTGTCAGACACAAAACAGGGGAGAGAAAGGATGAAATGACCGCTGACTTCCAGAGCAAAACAGACAGCATCTCTACGACTTAGCTTAAGAAAAAAAGGGAGGGCGGGCAGGGGAGAGAAGTATTATGTCTACCATTGACATTCAAAGAATTTATCTCCATCTTCATGTAGAGGAGTTAATATTAAGTGATATTGACTTTCACTGTGTCAATCTAATATAACACACAGCACTAGCTGCAGACGTTAAACTCCAGAAGAATTCTTGATGTACTGCTTTTAAAGATCTATTTGTTTATTTGAAAAACAGATTCAGAAAGAACGGAGGACAGACAGAGAGAGCCTCTGTCTGCTGGCTCACTCCGCAAATGATTGCAATCTCTGGGACTTCACCAGACCAAAGCTAGGAGCTCGGAATGCCTTCCGTACCTCCCAGATGGCTTCAAGGGCTCAGGGACATGGGCCGTCTTCCTCTGCTTTCCCAGGCACATCTGCAAAGAGCTAGACGGGAACAGAGCAGAAGGGACTCAACCTAGAGCTCTCCCACAGGATACTGCTGTTGCCAACAGAGGCTTACACGCCACACCTCAACACTGGCCCCTGTTGCTGCGCTCATAAAGATTTAATTACACTTTATTCGAAAGGCAGATTCACAGGGAGAAAAAAACCGAGAAGCCTTTCATCTGCTGGTTCCCTCCACAAATGGCCGCTGGAGCGGAGCTGATCTCAAGTCAGGAGTCCGGAGTTTCTCCCAGGTCTTCCACGCGGGTGCAGGGTCCCAAAGCTTTGGGCCGTCCTCCACTGCTCTCCCAGGCTATAAGCAGGAAGCTGGATGGGAAGTGGAACAGCCGGGACTAAACCAGTGCCCATATGGAATGCCAGCACTTGCAGGCACAGAACTAGCCTGCTATACCACTGCGTAAGCCCCCGTTATGGTGTTATTTTGAGAGTTCAGTAAACAATGAAGAAAATTTATAAGCCAAGAAGATTCAATTAGGAAATCATAGTTTGATAGAATGTTTTTCCATCAAATTAAATGCAGACTTCCAATCACATAGGATTGAAATAAAACTCATCCTACAGCTGCACTAAACTCTCATTGCATCTTCTCAGCAAACAGCTCCTCAAGGACACTGAGCATTGCACTGTGCACATTACAGTTTAACTGTTTAAATGGCATCAACATTAAATGATTCCAAGTAATTTTCCTCCCTGTTTAATTTCATCATAAAGAATGTGCCTGGTGGTTTACTCAGGTAATCAGAAACTATTAAGGTAATCATATTTCTTATAATTACATTTAAAATGAAGGATTTTTAAAAGTCAGGCCTTGCATATTGTGACAGGTTCTCTTAGTCACGTCACTGCTATGGGAATTTCCTCAACCATGGTGTGTGTGGCGTGTCCAGGCCGGCGTGAAGTGTGAAATGCTCTTAGCTCAGCTTCCCTGTTTTAATTCTGAAGATTTATCTGGAAACTACCATAAACAGAAATTCGTCTCTACTGAAGGCCAAACAGTCAAATACTTTCAGTTTTTTTAAATACAGTTTTGAGGAAAATGTAGTTCATTCCTGCTGTGTAGGTGTCCATTCCTACATAGTTAGTATAATTTGATCTAAAACTTAGTTACTTGAAAGGCAGAGTCACACGGAGAGATGGGAAAACAGAAAAAGAGCTATCCCCTGGCCCACTGCCCAGACGACGGCCAAGGCCAGGACCGGCCCAGGATTGCATCGGCTCTCCCGGGGAGGGTCAGCGGCTAAAGCATCTGCACTGCTGCCGACCCAGATGCATTAGTGCAGAACTGGGTGGGGAGTAGAGCAGGTGGAACTCAAACCAGCACTCCGACATGGAATGTCCATGTCATAGCTCAACTCAGTGCACCACAAATCCAGTCCCTCAAGGCTTGTTTGTCTGCTTGTTGAACTACAAGGCAGAGCAACAGAGACAGAGAAAGTGAGGGGCGGGGAGATATCTTCCACTCCCTAGTTCATTCCTTCAAAGGCACGTTTGTTTGTTTAACTAAAAGGCAGAGCAACAGAGACAGAGGAAAGAAAGTGAGGGGTGGGGAGATACCTTCCACTCCCTAGTTCGATCTCCTAAAGGCCCCAAAAGCCAAGAACTCCACCCACATCTCTGACATGGGTAACAGGGGCCAAGGTCTTAGATTGTCTTCTATGGCATGTTCATAAGCAGGAAGGTGGATCTGAAGCAGAGCAACCAGGACTCAACCCCACACTCTACTACAGCATGCCAGCATTACAAATGGTGGCTTAATCGACAGTGCCACAAAGTCAGCCCCATAACTAGTACAAACTTAAGTGGTATGTTAAGCCAACTTTTTAGTTGCACAGGCTCCTAATATAAAAGTAAATAAAACATCTAGCCTTAAAATGAATTATCCAGAGAGGAGTACTGTGGCACGGCACGGCACGCTAAGCTGCCATCTGTAATGCCAGTATTCCATATCGGTATTGGATCAAGTCCCAGCTGCTCTACTCCTAATCTACCACATGGTGGCAGCACATGGGTGTTGGGCCATCGTCTGCTCCCTCCCAGGTACATCAACAGAAAGATGGATCAGAAAAGGCATGCATAGGACTCAAACCAGCGCTCTGACACGGAACGCTACCACTGCAGTACTGACTTAACCAGGCCCTCTTCCTCATCTCTATCACTCTGCTTTGCAAAAAATAAATATATTTTTAAATGCCACATTTCAATGGAAATTCCCTACAATCCTCCTTATGCTTTTTAAAAATTTCTTTATTTTTGTAAAGGCAGAATTACAAAGAAATAGAGTGAGAAAAAGAGAGATCTTCCATGCACTGGCTTACTTCCTAGATGGCCACAATGGCCACAGTCCCAGCCAGGAACCAGGAGCATCTTCCAGATCTCCCGTGCAGACACAACAGCTAACGCACATGAGCCATCCTCTGCTGGTTCTCCAGTCACATTAGCATGAAGCTGGATCAGAAGTGGGCCAGTCTGGTCTTAAATCAGCACCCATAGGGAAAATGGTGTTGCCACACCACAGTGCCACCCCCAGGATTTATAAAAGTAGTTTTGTGAAAGCCTAAAATGAGATCAGATACTGATGTATGGAGCAAATGTTGTGGTGCAGTGGTTGAAGACACTGCCCAGTACAACAGCATTCTATGAATGTCACGGTCCTGGCTGCTCCACTTCCAGTCCAGCTCCTGCTAATGCTCCTGGGAAAGCAGTCGAAGCTGACTCAAGTCCTTGGGCTCCTGCCTGCCGTGTGGGAGACCTGGACTGAGTTCCAGTTCCTGGCTTCAGTTTAGCCCAGCCCCAGCCAACCACTGCAGTCATCCAGAGAGTGGACTAGTGAATGTAAGAATTCTCTCTCCCTTCCTCTGTAGCTAAGCCTTTCAAACAGATAGATAACATTCTTAAAAAGAGCAAGAGATAATGATGCAGCATCAGATTGATCTGACCTTATCAAATGATAAAATCTACAGTAGACTCAGAATTGAATTATCTGGCATTCTCAACACTGAACACTGCACTTGACACTACCCTAAAAGTACTGTGTATACAGATCTAGTTGTAAGTTGTTGTGTCCAATTCACGATGCTACCTCCACTCCACCCCCCTCTCTCCCAGCACACTGCAATTCAAAACTCCTAACGGTGCTTGTCACACTTGAGTGTACATGACTTCACCTGGGGTGCTTGTGAAAATCACCAGACTCGGGCCCGGCGCAGTGGCGCAAGTGGTTAAGGTCCTCACCTAGCATGCCCGGGATCCCATATGGGCACTGGTTCTAATCCCGGCAGCCCCGCTTCCCTTCCAGCTCCCTGCCTGTGGCCTGGGAAAACAGTCGAGGATGGCCCAAAGCTTTGGGACCCTGCGCCCGTGTGGGAGACCCGGAAGAGGCTCCTGGCTTCGGATTGGCATAGCATCGGCCCGTTGCGCTCACTTGGGGAGTGAATCATCGGACGGAAGATCTTCCTCTCTGTCTCTCCTCTCTGTATATCCGCCTTTCCAATGAAAAAATAATAAAAATAAATCTTTAAAAAAAAAAAATAAAAGAAAATCACCAGACTCCAAATCAAAGTTCCTAACCCAGCACCTTTGCGGCGGGCCTTAGACTGCGCATTGCTAACACGTGCTCAGGTGACACAGACGATGCGAGAAGCACCACACTTACACAACCTCTCACCTGCAGTAGGGTTCAGTAAACATTTCCCTGTAAAGGCCCAAAGAGTACATATTTGCAGGCTACCTGGTTTTTGCTGCTACTACTGCACTTAGCTTTACAAAGGCAACCGCAAGCCTTACTTAAAGAAACATCAGCGTGGTTGTGTTCAGGTTAACGTTACCTGGGATTACAGGTAGCAGCCCCTGACTAACACAAGCCTGTTGGGAACCATGAGCCCATGCACACACCACGACCCGGGCCCTCCCACTCACCTTGTCATAGTGCCTGAAGGCTGCCAGCAAAGTGTCAAAGTGCTGGCAGTTAAATTTCTTCAGGTGGTGTCGAACTGCTGCAATCAGAGCTCGCTGTCTGTCCTTGCCTCGAAGATATTCACCTGGCAGTCGGCGACAGATGAGATCACCAGCTCCTGCCAAAGAGGGGAGAACACACCTTTCAGATGAATTAAAAGGCTGTCAATACTATTTCTACTTAAGGGGCCAGGGGAACCTAACAATTTCTGTGAATTAAAAAAAAAATGAATTCACATCTAAATGACATTATTGTATGTGAAAAAGTATAGGAAGTAATTGAGAAAGATCAATATTTCTATTTTTTATGTCACTTTTTTGTTAAAAGAAACTTAAAAACTGAATGGTCAAAGCCATCACTGGTCCCATTGAGCTGTGTGCAGTCCATTCCTCAGATAATGAGCCCTTGCCAAGTTCTTTCTTGGGTGACATTTGTCTACAACGCCAAGGATATGACAACTGGAGCTAACCCTACGCGAGGACCCCTCAGTGTATGATTAAACATCAGGGAACTCTTGTAAAACCTAAACTCAAGTTCCTTACTCCCTCCGGTTGGCCTTGAGCCTGCACACCAAGTTCCCATTTCTCAGTATTGCTTGCCCAAACGACCAGCGGCCCTGAAGGCCTGGCTTATCCACAGTTCAAGAGGTCGAGACCACACACCTCCCTAACGCTGACCGTGCTGCTTCAGGCATGCTGGACTGGTGGCCAGCACCAGGGGAGACCTCTCTTCAGTTAGTTTCCCCTGGCCTACGCCCGGTCCTGTTTCCTCCAACAACTCTCAGCTTCCCTGGAGCAAGGCCATGATGGCAGGAGGCTGGGACACCTTGGATGGATTATTAAATAAATAAATAAATAAAGACTCATTGATTTATTTGAAAGGCAGGGTTACAGAGAGAGAGGGAGAGAGACCAAGAGAGATTGCCTGTCCACTGGTTCACTACCCAAATAGCCACAACTAGAGTGGGGCCAGCCTAAAGTCAGAAACTTCTGGATCTCCCAGATCTGTTGCAGGGCCCCAAGGACCTGGGCCATTCTCTGCTGCTTTCCCAGACACATTAGCTGGGAGCTGGGTAAGAAGCAGAACGAGCAGGGTGGTTCCCGTACGGGATTCCAAGGCTACAGACAGCAGTGTCATCTCTACGTACACAGTACCAGCCCAGATGGATTAATTTAAATTGCAATATTGGTTGAAGTTCAAGGCAATTAATATTACACCTATTTTTATAAGACATGATTAATTCCTAATGGCCATGTCAAGGAACTCTCTTAATAGGTACTCATAGCTCCTGTAGTCGCTTATTTATTATTAAATCAAGAGGTAATTATGCATGTGCTGATAAAAATCTTGCTTCTATGGATAGCTGCCGAGAACCCACAACTACTGCTGGATCCAGGGGTAAGGCACATGCCCCAGACCTAGGGCATTTGAAACGGAGCCATCTAAGGGCCCTGGAATGGGAACAACACTGCCAAGGGACAAGTTCTGACAAAAACGGGCATGAGCACGTTTCCTCCTTAACACCCCTTCCTCTTGGAGTGTCTACTTCGGTAAGGACAGTCTTCTCCCTTTCACCAGACGGCTTTTGGCTGAGTGATTCCGTACCTTCCTTTGTTAACAGACAACATGTAAGGGAAGTCATTTCAATGATTGTTTCTCCCATTCTCATGGTTTTCCCACCACAACCCCATTAGATTTAACTGCCTGGTAGGTAACACCCAAGCTGATGCCTTCTTCTGGACTGAATCTGATGCCAAATCATTCAAGAACTACTTCTAAAATGTTCCAACCAAATGTGTCTGGAAAGATAGCAGAAGATGACTCAGTCCCTGCAACTCACAGCAAGACCTGGATGGGCCCAACACGATGGCTCAACTAGCTAACGCTCCCCTTGAAAGCACTGGGATCCCAAGTAAGCACTGGTTCATGTCCTAGCTGCTCCACTTCCTATCCAGCTCCCTGCCTGTAGCCTGGAAAAGCAGCAGAGGACGACCCAGAAAGCCTTGGGATCCTGAACTAGCATGGGAGATACAGAGGAAGCTCCTGGCTCCTGGCTTTGGATCAGCTCAATTCCAGCGACTGCAGCCATATGGGGAGTGAATCAATGGATGAAATATCTTTCTGTCTCTCCTTCTCTCTGCAAATCTGCCTTTTCAAGAAAGAAAAAGAGAGGAAGAAAAGAAAAGAAAAAGGAAAGGAAAGGAAAGAAAAGATACTTGGATGGTATGTAGGACTACTGGCTTCAGCCTGGCCCAGCACCAACTCTTGCAGCTTTTTAGGGAGTAAACCACCAAATGGAATTTTTTTCTCTCTCTCTATCTTTCAAATAAATAAATATCTTAAAAGAAAAAGAAAGCCCCTGACATACAGTCCAGTCCTGATATGTTGTTGCACATTTGCCACCCCCCTTCGGCTGAGAACTATAAGAATCCTGGTATGTTTCTGCTGGGGGCGAAAGTGGTTCTGAACTAGAGGAGCATAAAAGAGTGCTTGCTCTGATTTCAATGTGCTTACAATTCAGCTGGGAATATTGCTAAAAATTCTGCTTCTGATTCAATAGGTATGGACTGGGGACTAAAATTTCTGCATTTCTAAGCAATTCCTAGGGGACTGCAATAGTACCCATGTGCAGACCACACTTGAAGTAGCAAGCACTTATAACAATATCTGGATTCATTAAAAAGCTGTCTCATTTCATGTTGACATGTTAAATGCAGTCTACATTTAATTTCTAAACAAAATCCAAGGTCTGCCCTACACATTCAGTATTCACTGCCAGGGCTTTAAAGCGTACCAATTTCAAACAGAATTCTGAACATTTCTTTTTGTATTTCATATCTTTCTCATTAACGCAAAATATTAAGCCTTTAACACTGGAAGCTATGAAAGAAGAAGACAGGGACCTGAATGCATAACTTGGAGAGGATTTTGATGAATTTATTTGCTTTTAGGAGAAAGTTTGTGTATTTACCATACTCCTCAGGATGGGGGCAAGCTCCAAATGTGTGGCCTGGAGGAACAGTCATGGTTTCTGCGATGCTGTTAAGGAAACAAATCCGTTAGTTAAACTCCCTAGCACAGGGCATCCCCAGAATGTAAAGTAACATTGCCACATGTTCTCAGAAGCCTATATTTTCTTCCTATAGCCACACTATGAAGATCAAACAAACACGCTCACAACAGATCTTCTGTCTGATCTCCAACTGGCACAAACAACAACGGGACGCTTTCACAGTCCAGATTATCAAAAGAGACAGAGAGCATATTCAGAGCAAAAGTAGAGAAATACAGAGATGGATAGAAACAGAGAAGACAGCAAAATAGAAACACAATGAGATGAGTCTCTGCTTTCCCAAGAATGAAGCCTCACACAAAATCGTCCCACCTTCTCCAAAGACTGCCTCTCTACTGGAGAACTCGCCTCTCTCCTGGACTCAAACTTAATGGAAACTACCGAAGTTCTACTGATGGACAACGAAAGAATGATAGGTTTTATGTAATAGAATCCAACAGAACATACAAAAGTTTACCACCAGAGCATTTTTTTTTTAATTTGGTGCAAATACACTGATACTGAGAAGCATTAACTTACGGGTCTAAAACTCTTCCAAGTTTATGTTGAAATTTTTCATTGAAATCATCAACTCTCTTGGATACAATCTTGGCTCCCTTTTTCCTGTAAAGTTAGAAAACAATGAAGTATCAAGAGCCTGTAAGACCACTGAGGTCTAAACCACCAAACCCAATGAAATGCGAAACCTAGTGGAACGTGTATTGCTCAGGAAAGCCCCTCATCTGGGACATTCCAAACTACTAAGACAAACATTCTTTTTTTTTTTCTTAAAGATTTATTTTTATTATTTTTTCTTTGGAAAGGTGGATATACAGAGAGAAGAGACAGAGAGGAAGATCTTCTGTCCAATGATTCACTCCCCAAGTGAGCGCAACGGGTCAATACTATGCCAGTCCGAAGCCAGGAGCCTCTTCCGGGTCTCCCACGCGGGTGCAGGGTCCCAAAGCTTTGGGCCGTCCTCGACTGCTTTCCTGGGCCACAGGCAGGGAGCTGGAAGGGAAGCGGGGCTGCCGGGATTAGAACCGGCGCCCATATGAGATCCCGGGCGTGCAAGGTGAGGTCCTTAACCACTTGCGCCACTGCGCCGGGCCCCAAGACAAACATTCTAAACTTCACCATGGAGGCTCACGGCACATCCCCTACCTACCTTATCAGGGTCCATGTGTCGCCCTGCACCTCCCCACAAGGAGCTTACTGGACTGCCTGCTGCCCAGGGGGAACACAGCCTGGCTTCAGATCTCCTGCCCACACTCCAAGCAGGCTCACCACCCCCTCTACCTTTATGCTACCCATTCTGTCCCCACCTAAATTTTTTCTTTTTTTTTTTTAAAGATGGACCTATACAATTATTTTTAAAGATGTATTTATTTTTATTGGAAAGGCAAATATACTTAGAAAAGGAAAGACAGAAAGATCTCCCCTATGCTGGTTCACTCCCTAAGTGAACGGCCAGAGCTGAGCTGATCTGAAGCCAGGAGCCAGGAGGTTCCTCTGTGTCTCCTATGCAGGTGCAGGGTTCCAAGGCTTTGGGCCACTCTCTGCTACTTTCCCAGGCCATGGATGGGAAGTGGAGCAGCCAGACATGAGCTGGTGTCCACATGAGATGTTAGTGCTTAAAGGGCGAGGATCAGCCTGTTGAGCCAATGTATAGAGCCCCTAAGATTGAATGATTGACTGATTTAAGAGGCAGAGTCACATAGAGATTCTCCCCAAATGTCAGGACCAGGCCAGGCTGAAACCAGGAGCCCGGAGCTTTCTCCCAGTCTTCGCTATGGGTTCAGCAGCCCAAAATTGGAGCATCCTCTGCTGTTTTCCCAGGCACATCGACAGGGATGCTAGATCCAAAATGGAGTAGCCTCGTCGTTCCTACTTAAATTGACTGCCTCTTTGCCTTCTTGGAATCCTAAAATCCTAAAGTCTAGCATATAGCACCTAAAACATTTGCAGTTGCTACACATACATGTGGTGTAATGTAACTTCAAAGGACAGATCTAGTTTTAAAAGAAGTTCTTACGCTCAAAAGAAAGTTTGTGTGTTTATCAGTCGGGCCTGCTTAAGCACCATCCCCACCCTATAAAGGATGCTCCCAGCACAGGTGTCGGCAGTTCTCTCTGGCTATCTGCACTTAGATCTGAGTTCTGTATTCCTGTCTCTTAATGAACTCTGCTCTTCTGTTCACCCCCATCTACATCTCCCAATTGTATTCTTACGTGTGGAACGACAAGAACCTGGAGTTAGTCTAGCTGGTCTCCAGTCATGGCCCCTGATCTCTACAACGTGATTTAGGGCTTCTCATGTGCGCAACAAAAAGTCATAATTGCGTCCGCTACCGCGGCACAGGTTGACTGCCACCCGTAAAATGAGCATCCTGTATGAGTGCCGGTCGCAGTTCCAGCTGCTCAGGTGCCCAGGGGAGCAGCAGGCCCCACAACCACATGGGAGACAAGGTGGGACAAGTTACAAGATCCCGGCTGCAGCCTGAGGCAGGATGAAAGATCTCTGTGTCTCTCTCTGTCTCTCTCTCTAAAACTTTGCTTTTTACATAAATAAGTCTATTAAAAAAAAATAACCTACATCCAGTTACCAAACATACGAAAAATTATCATGTGCTGTAAAAGAAATACAAAATTAAATCATAACAAAGTGCTTTTCCCAGTAAATAAATATACATATCTACACAAACATTTGTGTGTGTGTGTGTGTGTGTGTGTGTGTGTGTGTGTGTGTGTGTGTGTATGCTTTCACAAGGAGGAATCTGAAGCTGTGAAAAATTCTGGTAGAACACTCAAAGTTCTAATGCAATTTCCTATAGTTCAGCAATATGACTCAAAAAGTATAAAAAGCTTTATGCCCTTTTAACCACGTCTGGGAATCAATAATAAGGCAATAATCCACATAATAACTAAAAATATAGAAAAGTTGTATGCATAAAAATGTTTTCAGCCTCATAGATCACAATGGAAAACAGAAAATAATCAAAATGTTCAGCAATGAACACTGGGAGTGATTAAGTTAGGTCTCATTAACAAGAAGCTCTGCACATTTCTTACATGTTAGTTATGAAAAATACACAGCAATATCCATTTATAGTTGCTTTCTGTTAAGTGAAAAATCAAGATGTAAAATACAGAATTGCAATGGAGTGAAAACCATGTAAAAATTTACACAGGAAGGCACATTTGAAAAATACGTACATTAAAATGATAATAATGGTTGAATTAAGATGACAGTATTATGGGTGATTTTATTTTGCCAATTTTCTGCAATGTAATTTTGTTACTGCTATCATTATGATTAAATGAATAACATTTATTTATAAAACTACAAAATTACAATAGCACTATTCAATAACATTAAAATTAATAAATTCTGTATTGTTTTGCTAAGACTAAGGATAATGAACATTAAAATCTTAAATTCCATTTGCTTTTAAAGATATTCCCTGTACTATACAAAGACTGAGTTGAATAATTTTCTGGAGAAGAGTGACACTCTGTGGAGAAACAAAAAAAGTAATATAAAGTGATTCACCTCTTATTTCTCCACTCATCTCCTACTGTTAAAAAGAAGAAATAAATGGGCAAAATCAGAATAAAAGAATGGCAGATTAAGTACCATAATTTGAACAGAGTTAAAAACTATGAACCAGCTCCAAAAGGAGTAACTAAGAAAATACAGAGATGATGGGAATAAAGGTTGTAAAACAGACCTGACTTTTTTATTTTAAAATGTCTTAGATTAATGCTTCTGGGAGAACTGGAGCCTCTTTATAGGAAGTCCCATTGGGTCCAAATATCACTAGTTACACCATCATGACACAACCTCACAGCATTCACCAACCAAGATCAAGTCTTCACATGCCAGTGAATTCACTCACTCATGTACACACACATCTGATTGTTCAAAGCAAAGGTATAGAAGAAATATGTCACTTACTAGTTAGCTCCCTGTTAATGTGCCTGGGAAAGTAATACAAGACAGCCCAAGTGGGAGGCCCAGATGGAATCTCTGGCTCCTGGCTCAGCCCCAGCCATCATGGCTATTTGGGGAATGAACCAACCCTTCTCTGTTAGCACTATCTTTCGACAGATGACAGCATGGTGATTAAGGGAAGCCTCTGGAGTTGTGTTGTCTGGGTTTCCTTCCTACTCCAGGCATTCTGAGGTGTAAGGTCTCAAGAATTCAAGGACTAACTCCTTCAGAATCCCAGGCCATCATCTGAAAAATAGGAAGAATGAACAGAGTCCTGGCAGCATTAAATAACACAGAACCAGAACAAAGAGGCCAAGAGTGAGACGGGCTGGACGCCCATGGGACTGTGAGCTTTGCATGCACAGTGAGCCCAATGGAAACCTGGATGGTCAGCGTCTCTTTTTAAGAAGGAAACAAAGCAGACCAGATCTACCCCCACCATCACCACCCAGGTTTTCAGCGTGCTTATTTCCCGTGATGAGGATAAGAAACTACCACAAGTTGGTGCTTACAGCATTAATGTATTTTATACCTCTGGAACCCAGAAATAGCACACAAGGTCACGCTTCCCCCGAAAGCTCTTGGGGAGAATCCACATCTCACTTCCAACCTCGGACAGCTCTCATCAAACCTTGGTGCTCCTCGGTCTAGAGATGCCTCTGCGTTCACAGCACCATCTCTTCCGGATGTCCTTCCCTCTTTGGTCTCAACTCTCTTCTCCCCCTCTGAGAATGCTTACATTGTATCTAAGGCCCACTCAGATCACCCAGAATGTCTCTTCAGTGTCTGCAATGTAATGGCATCTACAAAGAGCCTTTTCCCGCACCGACTAACATTAATAAGTTTTGAAATTAAGGACCAGGACTTAACTCTTGGGGGGAAAGTAACATCAGTCTTCAAAATCACTATACCACTATTGACAATCAGAGTTTTAAAGCATAAAAGAAAATCTCAAAATGTTTAAGCAATGTCTCAATATAAAACATAACGGGGGAAGAATTAAGGATCTCATCTTAATTTCCTGGGGAAGAAGTCACAAATGGAATGAAGACATAAAAAGGTCACAATTCACAGAAGTTAAATGAAATGTTCAGGCACCCAAGTAACTATTAAAGCTGACAGATAAATGTCAGGCTAATCATATGTGACATAATCATCTTGGTAGACATTTGCAAGCCCAATTATTTTTAAGAAACACAAACAGAGTTGATCCCATAGATTTTAAATATGCAGTAATGTGTTTACCTTTACTTACAAAGGCATGAATTAACTTCAGCATGCCATATGCCAAAAAACAGTTTCATGGTTATCTTTGAAATACCTGAACAGAAATGGATTTCACACGTCTGTTATACTTCTACTAATTTTACTATTGAATCCCAGGAAATGGCCTCTTCAAAAGAATAAATTCAGAAAATAAATTTTTCTTTAATCCAAAAGTCAAATATCTAGCACTTATTCCTGAATGGAATATAATTAAACTTACATTTGTTGTTCATGGAGCCAATGTAAAGTTTTAGCCATGGCTCGTCCATCATTAAAATGCGGTGTTGGGACGCCATACAAGTTAAACCTATGGAAACTTGATGGGTTATACTTTCGATTCTTTGCTTCTCCTGTGGGTGTACGGGTCAAGGGAGAGGAAAGGAAGATTGCTGACTTAAGTAACACAACAAACTTATCTTGCAAGAAGCACATTCTGTTCCCAATGGCATTGAAAATGAGAGTGGGACAAACAATGAGATGGAAACAGTGCAGGAAATGACACATTCAGCTCACAAGAATGGGAAGACCAGTGCAAGACAACACAACACAGAGAGATCCTTATGTTGATATTTCAAAAATTATAAGAAGAAAAACCCAAAGACTCTAGCAGAAAAAAAAAGAATTAACAAATAAATTCAGTTTGCAGTCAGTCTATATAAAACCTGTGGCCTTTCTATACAAAAATAATGACCTAACTACAAAGGAAATCATGAAAATAATATTATTTATAATAAGAACAAAAATTAAATAAGGGGGTGGACATTTAGTGTGGTAGTGAAGATGCCAGTGAAGATATCTGTAGTTGCACAACCACTGGTTCGTGCAGAAGACAGGGGTGGAAACAGGATGAACCCAGCAAATGCAATGACCAGCATGTGCATAAGCTGACTGGGGTTACGGACTGTGCCAGACTCCGTACTGGCAAACTCACACAAGGATCAGGTTTGGGATCATCTCAGATGAAGTTTCTTTGGAGATCTCTCCAACTGAACTGCTGATCTCAGAACCCCAACCATGAAGACACTATGTCAGCCGGTGGATTCTGAATAGGTTTCATTGCGATTGGAACGCCAAGATTGGCAGCAATTCAGACCTGTTGAACTATCAAAATTGCTTGAGCAGGACCCTCAAAGCGTGCCTCACATCAGAGACCTGGGATGGATGGGAGGCTGGGTGGGGCTTTTCCCTTTGTTTCTCTCCTGACCCCAGATACAGGGAAAAAAATGATATTGGTGTGGAAACAATGGCATTACCCACTTTCCTGTAGTCCTTGACCTTCTGTACCCTAATCAACTAAGTAAGATTATTTTTAAAAATAAATTTTAAAAAAATAAGAAAATATCAAAACAAAAAAAAAGAAAAAGAAAATGTGACAAATGAAGGTAATTTCAGTCATGTTACGGCCCATTAAAGTTCTTGAGATATTAAAAAACAAACCTGCCCTAATTTTCCTGTTAAATGCTTAGACACCTCATTATAGATTGCCTACAGTAGTATATATGCACATGTGTAAATGGATTGTATATATATTTATCAACGTATTTCTTAAAATAATGATGGCTTTGGACTGTACTAGACTGTTCAATAGATGCTAACATTTTCCAAAAGATGAATAAAGCATTTTCCTAAGAGAAGGAGAAAGAAAAAGGGAGAGATGGGGCTGCGGAAGTAGAAAGGGTAGAGATACGGAGAACAGTCAAGTTATGTGAAAGAATGTGGTGTCCAAGTGTAGACACAGCGGAGGTTTGAATGTGAGGGTAAAGACAGTATCAGGACTGGGAACAAGTTAGGGAGGGAGGGGAACTAGCAGAGATTGATTTGAAAAACAAGAATTGTAGACATTTGACAGTGGTGGAAGAGGGGCAGCCAACAAGCCCCTGCTAAAATCAAAAGTTTAAAAGATAGTACAGTGTCAGAGGGCAGTGAAGTTACCGGGAAAAAAAGGTTTTTTTTTAATAAATAAAGGACAAGGAAGAGGTACTGGGCTATGGCTCTTGGTTCTAGATGATACAGACAGAGTTCTTGAATCGCACAGAATCTGGGGAGTTTCTCGTGACAGATACTAGTCTAAATCCAAATACTCTACAAGACTATATTTAGCATCCACATTCTGGCAATCAAATTGTGTTTTCCAACACTACAAAAATATAATGGCATTAAGTTGTACTACAGAAAAATTCTAGTGATGTGCTATTTACTGTAAGACAAAATTACTTAATGGTGAAAGCTAATAAACACCACCCAAGGCACTATATCAAATATTTTGCATACACTCACTGAATTGTCAGTATAACCGTTTAAAAGAAAATAATAGATGATGATTAGACAAATAAATCGCCCAAGTTCCAGAAGACAGTATATGGAACAGTTAGGATTTGAACCTGAGCTGATTCAGAGATCTGTTCTCTGAATTACCCAGAATATGTCATATAAAACAAAGCACTTTGAATAAGTCTGACATCTGAATAAGTACTGTATGTTTTAAACTGAAAACCACTAAGACAACTTATAACAGCTCCTCAATACCTTCTTTCATTATAATGATACATATATTTGGGGACTGGCATTGTGGCATAACCAGTTAAGTCAACACCTACAATGTCAGCAGCCCATATGGGCACCGGTTCCTGCCCCAGTTGTTTCACTTCTGATCCAGCTCTTTGCAAATGTACCTGGAAAAGCAACAGAAGATAAACCACGTCCTGGGAATCCTGCATCCACCTGGGACACCCACAGGAAGCTCCTGGCTGCAGAACTAGCCCAGCACCACTGGTCACAGTCATTTCAGAAGTCAACCAGCATATGAAAGATCTCTCTAAGACTCTTTTCAAGTAAATCTTTTATAAAACCACACATATATTTCTATACTTTACATATAAAATGTGTAAGTATATGTGGCCCCAGCTATTTAGATTTACGGCCTTATAAGTAACATGATGCTATCATTTTTGAACACGTACATCAGGCATTGAATATCATCTTCTTTATATCTCTTCATAAAGCTAAGGGTCCCGGATTTCACACTGGTTGGCACTTACCTACATAATAATCATTGTGAGAGACAACATACAAATCATGTCCTTCCATTGTTTCTTTACATACTTCTTCATAGGATTTTGGTGGATTCACTACATCTCTAGCAGAGAATTCTAAAGAAAGAATTAATGAAATCAGTTTTAATGTATTTCTATCTGTTTATAATGTGTTTGAATCAACTAGAACCAACAAGTTATCCTGAAACATTGCAGAATCATCATAGATACAAATATTATCAAGAAAATGGAAGAGTCTAGGTGCTGTGGGTGCTAAGGAATCCCACACTATCTGGCTCACTCCCTAGGCTTCTAAAGAACACCAAATTCTGTTTTGATTAATTATTAAGGTTATCCTGAACCATGTCCCAAAACAAGTTAAATTCCCTATCCTAAGAATCTCAAAGCAATTTTTAGTCTACTTTGCTCCGGACTTCTCAAGATGATCTAGGAAAATCCGAATCATAAATTACAAACCCTGATTCGTGTTGGTTAGCCATAGCACAAGCTTTGGCAGCTAGAGGCTGTAGCCCAAACCATGAGTCTATGTTCACTGGTATCTCCAACTGGCTCAACGAAGCCAAAGGCTTGAGGAAAAGCTCTGAAATGAAGGAAAAAGTCTTTTTTCTATTAGTCTCAAATCTAGGTAAAATGTTTGTTCAGTGGCTGCTTTTCTATAACCGGTGGTCCCCAGTTTTGTGTAAAGTGAATTATTTTGTTTTCATTGTTTTATGTAATAATTTAAAAAGATAACCACGTTCACAATTTCATCCTTCCTTTCTACCTCAGAGTATATATTAATGTTTCCTCTCTCTGTATCCTTGTTACAAGAATTGAGATCTGTAACTTAATAGTCAAGAATACTACAAAAAGAAAGAAAGAAGAAAAGAAAACAAAAGAATACTAGAAAGGGGATCACACTCCAAACACAGTGAAGTAGCATTTTTTGTAGATACATAAACAGTTACACCAGCTAATACACAGACCTGCATACATTGAAAGCACTGTTTCTGTGCTAAATCCTTACCTTGTACATGCCAGCATCCCATATGGGTGCCAATTCATGTCCCAGTTCCTCCACTCCCTATCTAGCTCCCCACTTGTGGCCTGGGAATGCAGTAGAGGACGTCCCAAGCCCTTGGAACCCTGTACCCACGTGGGAGACCCAGAAAAAGTTCCTGGATCCTGGCTTTGGATAGGCTCAGTTGTGGCCATTCCAGTCACTTTGTAACGTGAACCAGCAGATGGAAGATCTTTCTGTCTCCTTCTCTCTATAAAAGATGCCTTTCCAATAAAAAATAAACTTTAAAAAAAAAAAGCACTGTTTCTTTAAGAGTTACTATTTATTTGAAAGGCAGAATTTCAGAGAGAAGTAGTCAGGGAACTAAATAAATAGACAGCAAGAGTGAGAGCAATAGAGAGAAATCTTCAACCCATTGGTTTACTCACCAAATGAGTAACCCCACAGCAGCTGGGCCCAAGCCAAGATGAAGCCAGAAGCCAGGAACTCCCTTGCATCTGCCATACGAGCAGCAGGGTCCCAAGAACTTGAGCCATCTTCTGTTGCTTTCTCAGGTGTCTTAGAGAATTGGACTGGAAATGGAACAGCTAGGAGTTGAACCAGAGCCCCACAGGTGATGCTGGCATTGCAAGCCATGGCTTAATCTGATTTGCCACAATGCCAAGCATTGTTTCTTTAAATATGCAAATGAAACAAACCTACAGACTCTTTTCCACATTAGCTGAACTGATCCTAAATAACAGTTAGTTATGAAATAACTGCTGCAACCCCATGCCTAACAAAGTTCACATTACAATTTTTTATTCGTCTGGTATTGAGGCACAACAGGTTAAGCTGCCACTTTGGAAGTTAGCATCCCGTATTGGAGTACCAGTTGGCATCCCAGCCTCTCTGCTCCTCCATCCAGCTTTCTGCTAATGCGCCTACAGGGGCAACAGAAGGTGACCCTAGCACTTTGGCTCCTAACGTCCTTGTGGGAGGCTAGGAGGAAGTCCTGGCTCCTGGATTCAGCCTGGCCCAGCTGTGGCTACTGTGGCCACTTCGGAAGTGAACAAGCACTGGAAGATATCTGTCTCTCCCCGTCTACCATTCTGCCTTTCAAATAAATAAGTGAATAAATTAATTTTTATAAATAATGTTTAATAACATTAAAAGGAAAAAGTATCTCTCTGAAAATAAGTACTTTTTCCATGTCTCAAATTTTCAATAAATTTTACAATAAAATATAACTTTGGAGTTAGCATTGTAAAGTATAATTTATCTCAGTAGTGGATCTTACCACCTTAATGCAAATAATTGGTCTTTGAGTGGACAAAGATACCTCTCCTGGAACAAAGCCCTAATGGGCACAGAAAAACGAAACAAAACTAATTTCTCTGCAAAACTGAAAAAAGTGGAATTTGTGGTCTCCTGTGTAATACCATGTGGAAGGAGGAATTAAGGCAGTGACAGGAGTTACAGAGGAGAAACCAAGAAAGGTGTAACCACAGGGTACTGGTTCTGCTGCTACTGATGCAGCTCACCCCAATGCCTAACAAGATGACGGTTCAAGTGCTTGCATCCCTGCTGCCTGCACAAGACACTTAGAGTGAGTCCTGCCTCTGGCTGCATGGGCATCTGAGGAGCAAAGTAGTAAATGAATGATGCTTCCCTCTCTTTCTTACTCTCTCTCTCTCTGCCTTTAAAAAAAAAAAAGTGGAGGGGCCAGCACTGTGGCATGGTAGCTTCAGCCTCTGCCTGTGGTGCCGGCTTTCCAAATGGGCGCTGGCTCAAGTCCCTGCTGCTTTACTTCCAATCCATCTCCCTGCTAATATGCCTGTGAAAGCAGCTGGAAGGCACAAGTGCTTGAGCAGCTATACCCACACGGGAGACCCAGAGGAAGCACCAGGCTCCTGGCTTCGAACTGCCCCAATTATAACACATGTATAAACTCTAAAGGTTTTAGTTCGGCAAGCAACTTTCTTGCTATAATCACATCTTTCATTCAAGAATCATCGTTTACATGGAGGTGGGAGGAGGGATGGGGGGAACCTGTTCCATGGCCCACTTAAGGTCTGCAAATTTATTTGCTCTGGCCCTGCCAAGGAAGGCAGCCAGAGGCTGGACTGGAAATTCGACAAATCTGAGACAGTCGAATTTTTAAGTTGATCATTTTATCTAGCCACAAATGATATTATAAATATCTAAATGGCTCTTCGAAGAAAAAGGGGTCTCCAACCCTGATTAATACCGCCACCAAACACCCATGCTAACGCTGTATTTAACCCAACCTTTCAAGAAGACTTACTCTAACACCACCTCCCACCAGTTATTCTTTTACTACCTCTGACGACTCTCGTCCCAAATGTAGTTTTGCTTATATCCAGCCCTCCGGGCAATCCTCGAGTTTGATCATATGATTTTCCTAGTGGTGCTCGTTGCTTGCTAAGATATATAGATTCCTTTTTATCTTGAATTATCTGTTGAAATGCGGTCATAGGCTGTGGGTTTATCAATGTGTTTGCCTAAAAAGACCACAGAATGCACAGATGTATTAACAAAACGGGCAAAGTTGAAAACTGACCCCTTAGTCAATAGCTGATGAGAGGAGAATAACACAGTTTGTTCTCTGTCAAACGAACTGTCAGTACAAGACTATGAAGCTTAAATACATTTAAACCAGTGCTTTCAAGGGGCCAAAGAGTTCAATAAACAGAAAGGTTTAAGAGGGGTTTGGTACCCTGTCTGTCTGAGGCACTGGCATCCCATTTCACATCCTATTTTAGCATCCTGTGTTGAGCACCTGCTCATGGAAGGAAGATTTAGGCTCTGGGTTTGGCCTGGCTCAGCTTTGGCTGTTGGGGCCACTGGGGAGTGAACCAGTAGGTGGAAGATTTCTCGACCCCCCCCCCCCCCGTTCTCTCTCTCTCTGTCCTTCATCCTTTCTGTGTAACTCTCTTTCACATAAATATAAATCTAGAAAAAAGGAGGAGGAGGAGACTAGGAAGAAGAAATAACATTGTGACGGGACCTGTGCTCAGCATCTACCGAAGTCCTAGGTAGTGCCTTCAGAGTAAAAACGGTTCTGTCTTTTTCATTCTCTAAGGAAACCTCTTGACTGTGCAGAAATGGGATGCAACTTGTCTTGTAACAGCTAAAGACACCACAGTTTATGTCTTAAGCCACTAATTCCTTTATACCCCTTTTGCGGCTGCTACTTAATTTTTTTTTTCCTTTTCAACATTAATAGTTTAAGAAATTAAACTGGTAAAAAAAAAATGGCAAGGAAGGAGCCTGGAACAGATATATTTCACGAACACCTGATCTGTGCATTTTCACTTTGGTATATGAATAACAACATGGGGAAAAAAATACCGGCATTGAAATTTTAGATCTTATTCCGTGTGTCAAGTAAGGTGCAATCCGGGGATCACTGGCTTTGCCATAGAACACTCTCTCTGCCCCGGGAGGAGGATATCTGAAGTTGTAAAACTTTTTTGCTTCAGGCGGAGTAATCGGCTACAAAGAGAGATGCAAGAAAACAGAATTATTAAGGGCAGTTTTCAAAATGTTCACAAAACAGAAATATACTGGTCAACAAACATCACTGATTGTCCAACCATAGCAAGTATATTGGGAACAAATGCCCCTGAGAATGAGATTTTCCCTAAGAATCATTTATTGATTTGTATAAGCCAAGAATATATTTTAAAAGTTACACTTAGGGAAGGACTAGGAATTATCCAGGTTAGAAAGCACCTCATTAATCCTACTGAAATCAAATGACTTTCTCATAGTTTTCGGAGAGCTAAAAATTTTCATCCAAGAAAGAGGAAGCAGAGGCTGAGATCAGCCTCACCACAAGAAAATCACACGTTCTCATAAGGCGTGTTGAGAACTGTCACTCTCTTGAGTTACACGGAAAACAAAACTCGAACTGCGGAGGGGAGGCACGCTGGTCTCCTTACCCTGGGAAGCTTTTCTGTTAGGCAGGCTGCCACTCTGTGTCCAATCGGGATCACTTTCCCGGCCTAAGGAAAGAAGTCATCATTGATCAGCGTCAGAGAAGAGAATAAAATTTACTTCAGACTTGGCCTATGCCTCTGCTGCTACAAAGTTTCACCCACTTCCAGCAAAAAAGAGCAGGAATAACAAATCTAAAGCAATCCAGATATATCAACCAAAATGTTATAATATATTGTAATTCTAACTATCCTTTGTCATGTATTAGCATTGTCAGTGATTCATACAGTGACGGAACCTCTGTGACACAAAGGAGTCAACTTTCAGAAGTGGTGTTGTCACAGATCACAGAAAAATTACTCATTAACCTACAACATCAGTGAAGTGGACATGAAGCGGCATTAGAGCTAAGATCAAGAAACTATCGAACATGACTAAATGTGGGTGGGTGTGTTCCTTCCAGCACACTGGCTTCGACACTCCAGGCACAGCCCCTTTGGTGAGGCATCCAAATCTCATTTGGCTTTGTCTGCATCATTCTAATTTGGGTCTTATCTGTCCTTCCTCTACCCAAGGCGAAGACTACAGTGGTTCATTGTGTCATTCCCAGAAATGCAACTATTATTTCTTTTTCTCTTTATCTATTTCAAGGAAGCTGATTTTTAAGCAGTGTAAACATTTTTTTTCCTTTCCTGCATTTTTATTTATTTATTTATTGACAATCTTTACATAGCTAATTAGGGTAAAAAGGTTCAAGGGCTACAGGAAAGTGGATAATACTAGTATTTTTTCCATATTGTTTCCTTCATGTTTAAAGGGGGTATTAAGGGAGAAGGCCCACCCAATTTCCCACCCTCCCCAGGTCCCGGATGTAGTTCATGCTCTGAGGATCTTGCTCAAGTGGTTTTGATATTTCAACAGTTATAAATCGCCACCAATCTTGCCACTCCAAGCATTATGAGGTCTTTGAAAAATCCACTGATTGACATAGTTCATCATAGCAGAGATGGTTGGTTGACCTATTCTGTCTTCTCTCTCTTCTTGGTTAGGGTTCTGAGTCCAGCATTTTGATTAGGAAAATCTCCAAAGAAACTTTGTCTGAGGTGTTCTCAAACCAGATTCTTGTATGTGCTAGCAAGTACAGGGCCCGGCACAATCCATCGCCCTGATCAGCTGGTGGTTGTAATTGCTGGGTTGGTTCTGTTTTCACTCCTGTCTTCCACTGGAACCAACGGGTGTTGCAGTCCAGCCTGGTTCTGCCCAGCACACACTCAGCCCTCACATAAACCAGTGGGAGCTGCAGCCTAGTTGGAGCGACCCGCAATAACCCCCACCAGGCCTGCCCCCTACCCTGGTTTGCCAGTATGTGTTGCAGTAATCCAGTCTGTCCCACACCCCATTCCACCCCAGCCACTGTCTTAGTTTTATGCCCTCCCATGGAAGTGGTAACCCAAGAGGGATGAGCCTACTATTTCCCTCCCAGGCCTCTCCCACTCCCAGATTATGCACTCTCCAGATAGTTCTATGGTTTGACATGACAGAACTAGCCCCCAGTGCCAGCTTCTGCCAGCTGATGCTGTGGCTAAGCCCAAACAACCCTCACACACTCTAATTTTGTTTGCACCAGTGGGAATAATCAGCCCAGCCTGGCTTTTCCCTGATCTAGTCCAATGAGGCGCACAGGTATTGTAGCCTTGCCTAGTCTGGTCTGAGCAGTGTAAACTTTTTTAAAAATTAGAAAACTGTTCTCAGAAAGAATGTTCTGGATCTTCAGGGGAAGGTAGGAAATGGGAGAGGGAAAACATCAGAGATTGAGAATTGAGTGCAGTAGATGGATGAATAGATGTGGCTGGCAAGGGTGGATCAATTGAGTAAACAGAAGGATAAATGAATGAACACATACATATAGACAGATGTATGCAGATGGATAAGTGAAAGGTTTATTATTATTATTATTATTATTAGGTATTACAGGCAAAATTCCCCTTACAGGGAGAAACCACGAATGCTTAAGAGATACTACGCATGATATCTTTGGGTATAAAAAAAAGAAAGTCCGCAGACAATGGCTAGGCAGCCAAGGGGAAGGGAGGAAACATGAACTTCTCATTGTATAGGCTTAGAAGGATTCAAGCAGACAGCATAAATTTAGAAAAAGGGGGCTGCAAGTAGAAATCATGAATTAGCAAGAGAGGTTTGGGGTTCCAAGGTAGGAAATTGGTCAGTGAAAAAAACAGAATGGTTTCAGTGCCAACCTTTGAGTAAAATCTGCTCTGGCAACTTGGGGTAAAAAAAGGAAGGGGATGTAAAGGAAGACATTTGATGCAGCAGGTAAGACGGCACTTGAAACACTAGCATTCCAGCCTGAGAGCCTGGGTGCGCATCCTGACTCCGCTTCCAACTCCAGTCTCCTGTCGGTGCATACCCTGGGAGGCAACAGGTAATTGTCCTCCTGCCAGCCATGGGTATAAGCACACCTTACTCAAATAACTCTTATCTTCCATTAGTTCCCCCATGGATTTCCTAATCTCTTCCCTATATTCCTTGCACCTATACCCTCTTTCCTTTGATAAAGGGGTATATAAGTCCCTGGTTCTAACCACTGCTGTATCATTTGTTGTTTATGAACTCCTATGCGCATAAATACTAGTAAAAATTGTGGGGGGTTGGTACAATAGTTCAACTGGCTAATCCTTAGCCTTGCAGCACCAGCTTCCTATATGGACACTGGTTCCTGTCTCAGCTGTTCCACCTCTTATCCAGCTCCCTGCTTGTGGCCTGGGAAAGCAGCTGAGGATGGCCCAAGGCCATGGACCCTGCACACACGTGGGAGACCTGGAAGAAGCTCCTGCCTCCTGACTTAAGACTGGCCCAGTTCTGTTGTTGCAGCCATCTGGAGAGTGAATCAGTAGAGGGAAGATCTTGTACTGTGTCTCTCCCTCTCTATCTGTAACACTGGCTTTCAAATAAATAAAATCATTAAATTTGTTTGGGGATCAATTACAATTAGATTCTTATGTTTTCATGTCTTTTGATTCTTCACATAAAATGAAAGCCATTTGTACCTGCTTTTTATTTAGTATGTCCTAACTTTTAAACACTTACGTGAGACGCATAGATAGGAGGAGAAAGAGAGTGAGGGGGAGTGATGCTTGTTGACCCTCACGGTGCCCACATCAGAAGGCAGGCTGAGATGAGAGGAAGGGTGAAAACAATGAACTCCAACCGTGGAGCCGGGAACTAACTCAACCCTGCATTATCAACAAGCTGAAGTCAAAAACCAGAGATAGAGCGGGGTATCACAAGCAACTAGTTCAATATAAGGTTGTGCTTGGAGATTGATTTTTTTCAGGCTGATAAGAGCAGGAATTCCCATCTAACACACCTCAAGGCTGTGCTTGACTCTCAGTTTCAACCTTGCTCAAATTTACTTCCTTCCTACGCTGAGACGTAAATGAACTCACGCGAATCAGCATTCATATTAGTCAGTTTTAGCTAATTTAGTCAATTTTTGCTACTTGAACCAAAAAATCCCCAAGAAGACCTCCTTAGGAAGGAGGAAGCTTTACTTCAGCTTACACCTTGGAGGTTCAGACCTGGCCACCCCATTCGTTCATGGATCTGGTGCACACAATGCAGTATTGCAGTCACTGGAGAAATTTGGAAAATAAAACAACAGATACAAGATCTCTCTCTCTGCCCCTCCTTCTCTCTGTAGGTCTACCTTTCCAATTAAGAAAAAAAAAATCTTTAAATAAATAAATACAAATAAAGGGAATCAATTAACTAACAACCAAGGGGGTTTTTTTAACCATTAAAACATTTATAAACTGTTTGCAATGACAACATACTTACTGAATAGTAATCAATTAAAATCTAAATAATTTTTAAATATTTTATTTATATTGGAAAGGTAGATTTACCAAAAAAAAGGAAAGAAAGAGAGTGAGAGAGAGATCTTCCATCACTCCCCAAATGGCATCAATACCCAGAGCTGAACAGATTCAAAGTCATGAGTCAGGAGGTTCTTCTGGGTCTCCCACGTGGATGCCAAGGTCCCAAGGTTTTGGACCATATGGGCACCGGATCTAATCCCAGCACCCCACTTCCCATTCAGCTCCTTCCTTGTAGCCTGGGAAAGCAGTCCAAGACGGCCCAAGGTCTTAGGACCCTGGTTTCAGATCAGCTCAGCTCCAGCTGTTGCAGCCACTTGGGGAGTGAATCAGCGGACGGAGGATCTTCCTCTGTGTCTGTCCTCCTCTCTGTATGCCTGCCTTTCCAATAAAAAATATAAAGTAAATCTTTAAAAAATAATACATTTGGTACTATTATGTTGTAGTGGGTGAAGCCACGCCTACAATGCTGACATTTCCTACTGGCACCATTTAGTGACCTAGTTGCTCCTAGTTGCTATTCCACTGCTTGCTAATGGACCTGGGTGTAGAAGGACATTGTGATTCTAGAAGGACAACGAACACAGGATCACGTTTGATAGGATATCACCTGCAGTCATGTAGGAGACCTGGGTAAAGCTCCTGGATCCTGACTTCAGCCTGGCCTAGCTGTTTGGGGAATATGCCAGAGCATGGGAGATCTGTCTGTCTGTCTCTCTCTCTCTCTGAAACTCTGCCTTCTAAATAAATAGATCCTTATTTAAAAAAATAAAATAAAATAAATAGAATTTGTGATTTCAAATCAGCCTTAGTTGTATGAATTTTGCTACATTAATTTGCCTGCTTCCTCATTTGTAAAATAGATTTTATTAATAGAGGATACCTCATAAAAGTGTTCTGAGATCAAATGAATTAATACTTGCAAAAATTCATGAGTAGCGATGCAGATACAGCAACCAACAACAGATGTTAATACAAATGCATCAAACTCCTAATAGGCATTGAAGGCTACGGTTGTTTTCATAATTTTCTGTAACATTTCGGTTACATTAAAAATAAATGTGTTAACATGAAGAAAATTGCTGAGTGCAGGTCTGGTGGTCAAAACACCAGTTAAGGAGGCTGAACTATGACATAGCAAGCTGAGCCTTTACCTGTGGTGCTAGCATCCCACATGGGTAACAGTTCAAATTCCAGTGGCTTCATTCAATGCAACTCCCTGATAATGGCCTGGGAAAATAGCATAGGACGACCTGAGTGTTTGGGCCCCAGAATCCATACGGGGGACCTGAAGATCCTGGCTCCTGACTTCAGATCACCCCAGCTCCAACCCTTTCAGACATTCACCAAATGAATCTCTCTCTCTCTCTCTCTCCTTCTCTCTCTGTAACTCTGCCTTTCAAATAAATAAAGCTGTTCTAAAAGGAAAAAAAAAAAAAGTTATATAAGAACACACTATGACACCTTCATCCTGTACTGAAGAGGCTGGGTTCAGTTCCTGGCTCTTGTTGGTGATCTTAGGCTTCCATCAGTGCAGACTCTGGCAGGATGCAGGTGGCAGCTCAGGGAGTTGGGTCCCTGCCCCACATGTTGCACACCTGGACTGAGCTTCTAGGTCCCAGGTTTGACCTCTGGCCCAGCCTAGTCACTGCAGGCACTTGGAGAGCAATCCAGTGAGGGAAGCATGTTGTCCCTCTCGCTTGCTCTCGTTGTCTCGCTCGCTCTATCTCTCTCTCCAACCCTGTCCCGTATTTCTGCCTCTCAACTAAACCTTAAAGACATTAGTTTAAAAGCTAGATTTTTTTCCTGGACAAGCATAATCCCCTCATCTTGCATGCTTCCTAGGGAAAAAAAAATTCATAACAGTTTTCTCCGATTCTAACCTCCCATTCACTCTTAGGCTATGTAATATAAATTCTCCCTCTAGTATGCCATCCTGGAATGCTGCTTATTTTCCTAATCTCCAAAATCAGTCCATCACTGTCCTGTTCGGTTTATCAGAGATTTCCCATTCCTAGACACTCTCTCCTTGACCGTCGTTTCTCCCAGTTCCCGTCCTCTTTCGAAAAGAGGGTGTGAAAAGGAAGGGGAGGAAGCACAGATGTCAGAATTGCCTGTTTGGAAAACCGAAACTGGAATCCAAACCTGCATGAGATCAGATTAGAAGCCATAAACTGCAGAACCAATGTAGAAACAGGAAGCCGGTTTGGTCAAGTAAACATACAGGGGCTGGGGAAATCCAATGACGGAACCAGAAAGCAAAGTGGGCCAAAGACACGAGGGTTTCTACGGAACAAAAGTCGGCAGAATTACACAAAGTTCAGAACGAGCCTTGCGTCTCCTTTCGCAGACCAGATTTTCCTCATCTCAGCACGTTAGATATTTCTTTACTTCCAGAATGTCTACGGATATTTTGTTTGTTTTTGTTTTAGCGCGGAGTTCTAGAGAGAGAAAGACAGATATTCTTCCAACTGCTGCTTTACTCTCTAAATTGCTGAAATGGCCAGGGCTATGCCAGGACAGAGCAGAATCCCAGTGTTTCTTCCTGGTCTCTCATGTGGATGTAGTGGTCTAAGCATATGGCTCATCCTCCACGAGTTTCTCGGGAACATTAGTAGGAAGTGGGAAGTGGAGCAGCCAGGACTGGAACTGGTGTTCATAAGTGATGCTGGCGTCCTGAGCAGAGGCTTAGCACGCTATGCCACAACTCAACTCTCAAGGAAACTTTTTTCTTTTTTAAGATTTACCTATTTTTATTGGAAAGGTAGGTTTACAGAGAGAAGGAAAGACACAAAGCTCTTACATCTGCTGATTCATTCCCCCAAATAGCTGCAATGGCCCAAGCTGAACTGATCCAAATCCAAGAGCCAGTGCTTCTGCCAGGTCTCCCACACAGGTGCAGGGTCCCAAGGCTTTGGGCCATCCTCTACTGCCCTCCCAGGCCACAAGCAGGGAGCTGGATAAGTAGAGCGGCCAGGACATAAACTGTCACCCTTAAGGAATCCCAGTGGATGCAAGGTGAAGATTTGGACCACCAAGCTATCGCACTGGGCCCATGGATGCTGATCTCTCCCAGGTTTTATCAGTTAGCCTTTCTTCACTGACCAAACACAAATTTATCCACTGAGAGGCCATCCCACTGTGGCCTGCTGCAAGCACTCAGCTGACCTCTCTCCCACGGACTCACTCGTAGAGGGTCTTGAGTTTCTGGCTTGGATCTTCTTTTCCATCCTCACTCAGGAATCCCACCGCCCCACATTAACCACGATCGCCCTGGCTGCTTCTCCGTCCATTTCAAGATGGCAGACAGGTGAGCTTGAACATTCATTTGTCAGATCCAAGGAGATCATTGCCGACGCAGAGACTCCTGGGTATCCTGCCAACTTCCATCTCCCCACAGACGCACAACACTTCCTACCTCCAGTCTGCTCTGGTTTTTCTTATTTCTACGTTAATGTCACAACATTATTCCCTTACAATGGCCTGACCTTCTACCTGTCATCCACTCTCTCCTTGCACACCATCATCAGCATTACCAGAATTATATGTCTAAAGATTGTATGTATTTATTTCCTCATTATCACCCACTATTAGTCATGTTTCCACATGTTTCACCCCATGTAACCTTCACCTTAAGGTTGCTTCCATGACCGCTCCTCGGTCTTTTGGCTCAGATCAAGTGTCCATGTGTTTCTTCATGCGAATTTCTCAACACCAGAACCGCTGTGTCTCCCAAAACACAAGAAGTTTTGGTTATCATTGTGCTTGGCTTCGCCCAAAATGCTTTCATCTCATTCTTCCAAATACTGTACTGGCAGCTTCAAATGTTGGCTCAACTTTTACCTCCATGTTAAAGCCTTTCCCATCTTCTCCACGGATACATGAAAGGATCTTCCAGGATGGAACGATCACAATTGTTTTCCGACCGTTTGGATATTTATATAATATTGATTTAATTCTGTCTCCATCACAGACATCAGTCTAACTGCAGAGGGCAGAGGTCATGGGCCTTTTGTCTTTTATTGCACTGTATCCAGCACAAAGATCGCACTCAGTCATTGCTGTAGGAAAAACACCTCATAAACTAAATAATGAGTGGAAAAAGAAATATTTCCATTCAGTAACAAGAACATTAGAATACAACCTGTATCTTCAAATGTCTCAACATGTGAGAAGTTAGAGAAAACAAAGATTGAGGGATTTAATGACCGTCAAAAAGGACGTTCAGAAAGCAAAGCCGACATCTCGGAAGGGGCCAGACAATCTGAGGCAGCCAACATGACACCTGGAAAGAGTTCAGTGGGGTCATCAATAGTAGGACTACAATATTTGTGATTTTTTTTCTCCATAAACCCAATTATCATTTTTTTAAATCATCTTCATTAAGATACTATCATATGTGCCTGGCGCGATAGTGTAGTGGTTAAAGTCCTAGCCTTGAACGCACCGGATCCCATATGGGCACCAGTTCTAATCCCAGCAGCCCCACTTCCTAACTCCTTGCTTGTGGCCTGGGGGGACAGCTCAAAGCTTTGAAACCCTACACCAGTGTGGGAGACCCGGGAGAAGCTCCAGGCTCCTGGCTTCAGATTGGCTTAGCTCCAGCCATTACAGTCACTTACGGAGTGAATCATCGGACGGAAGATCTTCCTCTCTGTCTCTCCCCTCTGTAAATCTGCCTTTCCAATAAAAACACATAAATCTTTTTTAGAAAGATACTATCATACATAGTTGCTAGAAAGCACTATTAAATATATATATATATATATATATATATACTTACGCTTGGCCAGCAAGGTGTCCGATCAAAAAATTTCCCATAGTAGATGGGTCTGACCCAATGTGGAGGTTCCACTCCTGGTTCAGTATTCTCAGCCTCCTTTTTCTCTTCAGCTTGTGGGCCAAGGTGCCACCGGGGAGGTTCGATCACCAAGCCCATCTGGGGCTCTGCATTCCTGGCTTCATCTAGGTCCTCTGCTTGGGCTAGCCCAATATCAACCTCCACAGGGGGTTTCAGTTCCGGGCTGGGTTTCGCGATAACACAAGTGGACTCTTTCTCCAGTTCCTGACTCTGTTCCCTACCCAAAACAGGTGGATTTGCCTTTAAAGCCTCAATCCCATCAGAGCTAATGTTCCTGGTCCCCACGGCCTGCGGACTAACACAGCCCACGCCCAAGGGAGGCTGTGTTAGCTTTCCGTTAGGACACTCTCTCCCTAACTCCGCTCTTCCTGCTAATGTACATGGAGCAAGCGGTGGTCCCCATGAGGCCGAGGCCCTGTTGGCTCCTAACCAATCTCTCTCCGAGGGGATCCCTGAAATTGTCTGTCTGGCTAGTCCCGTTTCAAACCTCTGCCTTTGCGGAGGCTGTGTTCCTGGTAACGCTACCCTCTCCTCATACTTCAACTCTGGGATCTCCCCACGCCGGGAATCTTTTCCTAACCCCACTGTAGGTCCCAACCCCAAAGGAGATCTTGTTCCCATGAGGACACTCTGGTTTCCTAAATCCTCGTTCCGTTCTCTTGCATGTCCAACCTCCGGGTCAAGGGCAGACTTCCATCCAGATACTTTTGTTCCTCCGAGGGCACTTTTGTCTGAGAGGAGAGCTGCTTCGGCGGGCTCTGGGAAAGTTTTCAATACCTTGGGAGACCCCACTCTCACGAAAGAGCACATCTCTGCCCGGACGGACTTCTGCCAGCGGCTTCCTGCCCACCTCTTGTAACCTGGCGGAGTTCACGTACCAAAGAATAAGGAGTGTGTTTACTCGGTTGCCTGGGAAACGGGGGCGGGGCCTGGCTTGCAGTTCCTCTCGTGGCAGGACCCCGCCCATCTCTCTTTTCCCTCATTCCTTCAGTGGGCCCCATCTGCCCTCATGCTCTCCTCTCTGTTTCTTCCTCTGCTAGACGAATAATATGAAATGTTCAACCTTTTCTTGGTTTCTCAAGCTACGCAATCTTGTAAGCGGTTCAGCCTTCAACTTCTTCCTGGTCATTGACCTCTTAATATTACTGGTGATCAGATCACAAATAAAGAACTGGTGACCACTTCTTTCAAGTACCTTCTCTGCTCAAGTGCCTTCACTCTGCATGTAAGTTATTTTAGCACTAAATAACTACTTTACACTCTGAAAAGTTATTCTACTTCACAGCTGTTGTATAGAAATATCAAAGGCTTGAGAACACTTACAAGTTAATACCTAGGCTTTAAAATGAATATATTAAAAGTTTCAGATATGTTACACAATAATACAAGCTGTTTTAAAAATATTGGGACAGGGCCCGGCGCAATGGTGTAGTGGTTAAAGTCTTCGATTTGCACACACTGGGATCCCATATGGGCGCTGGTTCTAATCCCAGCAGACCCACTTCCCATCCAGCTCCCTGCTTGTGGCCTGGGAAAGCAGTCAAGGACAGCCCAAAGCCATGGGACCCTGCACCTGCATGGGAGACCCAGAAGAGCTTCTGGCAACTGGCTTTGGATTGGCTTAGCTCCAGCCATTACAGCTGCTTGGGGAGTTAACCATCAGATGGAAAATTCTTCCTGTCTCTCCTCTCTGTATACCCGTCTTTCCAATAAAAATAAATTTTAAAAAAATTAAACAATATTGAGACAAACTACTGTTTTTTTTTTTTTTAATGTGGGATTTGTTTAAATTGAGGTTATACCTTTTTTTGCACAGACTCGGCCAAAGCACTTCATCTGGGTCACCCACCCAAAGCACTTGGGCCAGCTTCCACTGCTTTTCCAGGTGCATTATCAGAGAGCTGGATTGGAAGTAGAGCAACTGGGACTTGAACTGGCACCAAAACGGGATATCAACTTCAGAGGCTGCAGTATTACCTACCAGATCGCAATACAGGCCCCTTCGGTCAGTTTAATGAAAGTATATCTGATGAGTATTTGTCATGTTCTAAACACAAGGATCTATCTAGGATATCTAGCATAAAAATTGGGACATATAGGATCCCAGTGTCAAAATATATATAGTGTTTCACACTTATAAAATGCAACTTCCTAGCTCATGAACACACTCATAAGTTTGTTTGTTTGTTTTTTTTAAATAAGATTCATTTATTTTTATTGGGAAAGCAGATTTACAGACAGAAAACACAGGAGGATCTTCTGTCTGCTGGTTCACTCCCAAAGTGGCTAAAACAGCCAGATTTTATAGACTGAGGGTCATACAGGATAGGGAGGTATTGAGCTTATCAACAAAGCCTATCATCTGTTTCTATGATTTTGTTTGGAACTCTTTTTGTTTTGTATATCCCACCAAGTGTTCTCATTCACATGTGGTCCACTCAACTATTCTCATACAAATGATGTCCATTGAGTTACAGGAATGGTACACACTCAGTTGTTCTCACATAAATGATATCCAATCAGTTATACAAAAGGTATCTACTGGGTGTTCTCTTACAAATGATAACCAATCAGTCATACAAATGGCATCCACCCAGTTGTTTTCACAGAAATATTATCCTATCAATTGTAATCCTGTGCTCCCTGACCTTCTAGGGTCACAATGTCCTATAGTCCCCCATGTAGGTACAGGTGTCCCAAGGCTTTGGGCCATTTTCCACTGCTTTCCCAGGCCACAAGCAGGGAGCTGGATGGGAAGTGGGGCTGCCAGGATGCAAACCAGCACCCATATGGGATCCTGGTGCTTGAAGAAAGAGGATCAGCCAAATCAGCCATCACACTAGACCTAGTAAGTTTTTTTTAATGACTTGACAACATTTTATTCAGGATATGCTTGTACAGCTCACTTAATTCATGCATTCTACAGCACATACTGAGTTCCAATCTCTATCTTAAGGAATTTCTGGATTTTTTTTTTAAGATTTTATTTCCATTGTAAAATCAGATATAGAGAGAGGAAGATCTTCTGTCTGATGATTCACTCCCCAAGTGACCGCAACAGCTGGAGCTGAGGCGATCCAAAGCCAAGAACTTCCCCCAGGTCTTCCACGTGGGTGCAGGGTCCCAAAGCTTTGGGCTATCCTGATTGCGTTTCCAGGCCCCAAGCAGGGAGCTGGATGGGAAGCGGGACTGCCGGGATTAGAACCGGGGCCCATATGGGATCCCGGCATACCCAAGGCAAGGACTTTAGCTGCTAGGGCCACTGGGCCCAAGGAATTTTTATTTTAGTAAGGATAGATAACATCAACTAAACCAATCAATAATTTAAGGAAGCACGATGCGTTCAGAAGAAAAATAAGATGCTTTGATGTGGAGACCATTTTGGAACTGGTGACTTAAAAGGCCCTTAAGTAGCTGACATTTGAGCTGAGCCTCAATGATCCGCTCTGAAAACACAGCTTTTCTGAAACATGAGGAGGTCAAGTGTACAGTCTTTTTCTCACTGCCTTGGTAAAATGCGAATTATCATTTGGTTTGTCTCCATTTAAAAAAATAAATCTATATTTTGGGTCAGCACGTTAGTGTACCACAGTGGTCTAGTAGGCTAATTCTCCACCCGCAACATATGCATCGCATCTGAGCATCAATTCATGTCCTGGCTGTTCCACTTCCCATCCAACTCCCTGCTTACGATGTGAGAAAGCAACGGGGGATGGCTCAAGTTCTTGCACTCATGTGGGAAGTCCAGGGCACGCCTTTGGCTCGGGGCTTCAGCTCGGCTTCGGGAAGGGAACCAGCAGATGAAAGATCTGTCTCTCCTCTCTGTAAATATTCCCTTAAGATAAAAATAAATATATAAAAAGAAAAGTAAACATATCAGTCATTACCTATGCAAAGATTCATTCCTTGCCACACAAAGGAGGAGAGATTTCCCAACATGGTAAAGGATACAGGGTGTTGTGAGTGGTAAGTCAGGCAACATATTTACTTGAAAGCAATATAACACCTTTAGTGAGAGCTTAAATTTTCTGATTTTGTGCCTGGCACGGTAGCCTGGTGGCTAAAATCCTTGCCTTGCACACACTGGGATCCCATATGAGTGCCTAAAGTGTAAAGAATAGATTGAAAAGGACAGAACACACACTCACTCCCTGTATAATACTACCACAGCACAAGCATCTGAAATCTCAAATTCGGGGATTAGAGCATTTGAGGGGACAGAATGGACAGAGGCTTATGAGGAGGGAAGGGAATAAGAGAGAGAGAGAAGGAAGAGAGGGAGGGTTGATCAGAAACAAATCTGCAGTTCCAAGCCTGGGTAACAGACATCGTTAATGGCAGTAACTAAACAGAAGGCAAACAGGCACACAGTGGAAAAGGTTCGGCTTGGGGCATGCTATTGGCATGACAAAACCAATGCGCCATATCCTATTTCCTGATTCTTTTGGGGATCATCCTACAGCTATTGCCTTGACTAACATGTAATAGGAGAACAGGTCTTTCGGGATATTGTGCCACAGATATCATTTACACATGACATATTATGTTCTTCTGGCAGCTGAGTTGATCGGAAGGACTACTTGGCCAGCCAAAGGTTCAAGTCATTTTCATTGCACGATGTTAACTGAGTACTCACAGGATATCTAAGCCCAGGTGCATTCCAAAGACACTATTCCTGCCCTCGCAACAGGACTCTAAGCTGTAAATTACAAACTGAAAGGTATCCCTTATTGAGAAGGAAAAATCGACATAATGATCTTCTGTAAAAGTATCGAAAGGTTTCCAAGGGGAAGCGTTCACAAGTTTTTCAGGCAGTTTCCTATGATGTGGGACTTAACCAAAGAAAGACTGTTGAAAAGCATCTGCTTACCTTGGGTAGAGAATGTGTCAGCTGCCTGTTTTTCACTGGAACTGTGCATAAAAAACGACATTCTGGGCCCGGCGTAGTAGCCTAGTGGCTTAAGTCCTTGCTTTGCATGCACCAGATTCCCATCTGGGTGCTGGCTCATGTCCCAGCTGCTCCACTTCCCTTCCAGCTCCCTACTTGCTGAGGACGGCCCAAAGCCTTGGGACCCTGCCCCCCGCGTGGGAGATCCAGAAGCAGCTCCTGGCTCCTGGCTTTGGATCAGCTCAGTTCTAAGCCACTTGGGGTGCAAATCAGCGGACAGAAGATCCCTCTGTCCGTCTCTCCTACACTCTGTATATCTGGCTTTCCAATAAAAATAAACAAATCTTTTCGTAAAAACAACTTTTAAAAAATGACATTCTGGGGCCAGTGGCCACCATAAAAGGCACGTGAAGTAAAGACACACACAGCAGAGTAAGCTGCAACTTGCAATGCTGGCATCCCATTGAATCCAGGCTGCTCAGCTTTCAGTCCAGAACCCTGCTGATGTGCCTGGCAAAGCAGGGAGGATGGCTCGGGCACTCTGGCCCCTGACAACCAAGTTCCTGGCCTCAGCTAGTTCATGCCTTTGCAGCAAAAACAGTGGCTGTAGCAATGACCACTCTGCATTTCAAATAAATAAAATCTTTTTCCAAAAGGAACTCCCAGTCTTGAACAACTTACTCAATCAAATTATTTACCGGTGAAACAGGCACGCCCCAGTCACAAATTCCACAACCATGCCTCAAGATTGTTGGCTGCCTGGCAATATGCTTGATACGTTGGCAAAGGGGAGGCTCCATTAATGTAGTAACACAATCATAAACAAGCTCGTTTCCCAGTTCGACTTGATAGCATAAAAGTTAACCCTGTAAAACGGTTAGTACTCTATCTCCTAATGGAAATCGGAACAAAAGCCAGCTTAAAAAAAAAAGCTAGCACCCTAGGGGGAAAAAAACAAGTTCTTTAGATATGCAAATTAAAATTTTAAGATTTGGCCACCTAAACATTTTGAGGAATGCCAGGGAGTAGAGGACATACATGGCTCCAGGTAAACTTCTCAGAAAAACGCCTTGGGGTAAATGACGAGGTTTGCGGGTGCTGCGGGGTGAGGTGGAGGGGACCGCGACTCACATTCACAACCAACTCAAGAGCTTTGGGGGTTTCTCCTCACCCGTACCCCCAAAACCACCGCAGCCCAGAGACCTCCCCCTAGATGACAAAGAAGCTGCCAAGGAGGGACGGCACGCGACGGGCGCGGCGTGAACGGAGGGCGGCGCGGGGCGCGGCATCACGTGATCCGTGCCCCGCCCCGCCCTCCACTCCCAGGGCGGACGGGCGTCGAGCGGAAGTGACGCAGAGGCGCAGTTGGCTGCGCGCAGCGACGTGGCGGCGGGGCCGGCACCCGGCTGCGGAAGTGGCTCCCGCGTTGAGACTTGAGTGTTTGTGTTTTGGTTCGCGAAGGAGCCGGCGGCCGGCCTGAGGGGAGGAGGGAGGAGGAGGAGGAAGAAGGATCCGTCGGCATTCGAGGGCCGGCGGCGGTGGCCGAGGAGGAGGAGGAGGAGAAAAGGAAAGCGAAAGGCGGAGCGCGGAGAGGCGGGGACGGAGCCCGACAGGGGCGGCACCGCAGCTCCAGCCCCGCACGGCCCAGTGTGAGGAGAGCGACGCTCGGAGCCGCCGCAGCCTCCGCCCGTCTCCCGTGCCTCGCACCGCACCTGCCGCTGCGGCCTCAGGTACCCAGCGCACCCTCCCCTGCGTCCGGACCCCGGGTTCCCCGCGGATGGGCGGGCGCGCTGCTTTTCGGGGGGACCCCCCGGAGCTGTCTCTCCTGCACCGCGCCCGGCTTGCGGCTGGCCCGGGGACGCCTCCCGCCGCCGAGGGTTCCTGGAGAGTCGCGGTGGTGGAGGCACTTGGGGGAGGGAGCCACGGGTGTCACCCTCCTCCCTTCTCAAGATGGCGCCGCGGAAAGAGGACCGGAGGAGGCCGAGGTTCCGCCCGGCTCCTCCGGGCAGGGCAGAGGCGGGCAGGTTTCCGAGACGAGGGGGTGACAGGACGGCCCCGAGGTCGGGGGGCCTGGCGCGGGGACTGTGGGTTCGGGCAACGACTCGGAGGCGGGCCGGGGCCTGGGAAGCAGAGCCGGGGCCTGCGATAGGTCAGCAGGTGGGTCGGAGGAGCTCCGCCTCCCTCGGGAAGATGGGGAATGGGAAGGGTGAGGAGCTGGAGGGGGCGAGGCCACCAAGCTGCCCGGCTGGCTGAGCGGGGGGACCTGCCCCGATGGTGTCCACGAGGGCCAGCACCCCGCTCCCCGTGACACCCACAGACCCTTCAGGCTTCCATTTGCTTCGCTGAGTTGGAACAGAACTGTTGAATCAATGGCCCTGGTTGTCTTCGGGACTCTCAGAGCCTTGGCTCGAGGGTGGCTGTAAGGCAAGCTTTGGCAACCCTGCCGGGCACAGAAGAGCCCGGAATTACTATTACTGTTTGCTTAAAATTGAAGATCACCTAAAAGGACTTAGACGCTCTGGGGCACTAACTCCTTCCAAAATACGGAAAATGCATGTAGTGTGAAATCCTTGTTTGGCAAAGCGTGAGGCATTTCAGTGAGCAGTGAATACGAGTGTTTTCGGTGTTACAGCAACTATATTTTCAATTAGGCTTAATTTTCTATGTTGAGATCCTTAGAGCTTAGAAGGTAAAAAGTAAGTCAGGAGCTTGCTTGCCTTTCTTTGTGGATAAGTAAAGCTTTTGCCCAAGGCTGACAAATGCTGTAAGAACTCGGGCCGTGTTATCCTTGATAAGTGAGCCGCAGCTTTGAGAAGTGTTTCAACTGATATTTGCCCCTGAAAGCGTATTGGTGCATTTTAAGTCTATATCGCATTGTGTTGGTGCTTCATATTAATAGCAAGAGGCTGTGTGAGCTGTCCTTCAAGTCCAGCCTGCAGGCCGAGTACCGTATTAGGAATGATCCGCATATACTGCATCATGTACCTACTGGCAGCTGTGAAAGTTGGCTAGTATGTAGATGGACTTCAGAACTTAAAGATTTGCCCACTCGTAAATTGGTGTAACCAGGATTAGATCTCCAGGCTTGATGTGTTGGAGACAGTCTTCTAGGAAAGCAGTTTTTTATATGTACCATGTTGTTTGGAAGTGGCTTAAACATTGTTTCATCTGTATTGGTAAAACCTAAGAACTCTTTCAAGTTGGGGTTTTGGATAAGGCAAAGAGGTGATCTTAATTGTCTTGAGATAACATGTCATGAATGTATTAGTTTCAAGAATAGGTCTTATAAACTAAATTAAAAAGAAGGTAAATGCCTTACATGAGGTAAAACATTGGATATAGTCAACGTTTGTAGAGCGGGAATCATTGGATTAAATATGTTACTATTGGACTGGTGTGATGGCTCAATTTAGCTGATCCTCACCTTGCAAGCACCAGGATCCCGTATGGACACCGGTTCCTGTCCCTCCTGCTCCGCTTCCCATCCAGCTCCCTGCCTGTGGCCTGGGAACTCAGTCGAGGACAGCCCCAGGCTTTGCGACCCTGCACCGGTGTGGGAGACCCGGAAGAAGCTCCTGGCTTTGGATCAGCTCAGCTCTGGCCACTAACACCTTCTAGGAGGTGAACCGGTAGATGGCACATCTTTCTGTCACTCCTCTGTAACTCTGCCTTTCAAAAAAATGAATTGTTCTGCAGAGATTCACGGCAGGTGTTGGGAGCCCCAAAAATGACAAAGAGGTTAGTGAACAGGTCGCCGACAGTCACCACGAGAGCAGCATTTCTGCGAAGCAGATGAAGGTAGTTTTTCAGTTTTTCAACCACTATGCATGTAACACTGAGGACCTTAAATTTTTTGCCCTAAAATGAGTATTAATTGAGCAACATGGCATTTAACCAGAGTTTACCTATATTACTAAATCGTAGAATCTGAGGACATCCCTTTGATTATCTTAATTTCCCACAAAATAATTTTTTATTGAAGATTTTTTAATCTATTATTGGAAAGTCAGATTTACAGAGAGAAGTAGAGACAGGAAGATCTTCCATCCGCTGGTTCACTCTCCAGGTGGCCGTAATAACCAGAACTGAGCTGATCTGGAGCCAGGAGCCATTTGCTTCTTCCAGGTCTCCCACCCTAGTGCAGGGTCCCAAGGCTTTGGGCCGTCCTCTACTGCTTTCCAAGGCCTCAAGCAGGGAGCTGGATAAGAAGTGGAGCAGCTGGGACCTGAACCGCCGCCCATATGGGATCCGGGCATGCAAGGCGAGGAGTGTAGCTGATAGGCTGCTGCGCTGGGCACACAAAACGATTTTTTAATATTTATTTAAATTTTTTTTGAAAGGCAGATTTACATAGAGAGGAGTGATCATTCATCTCCTGGTTCACTTTCCACATAGCCACATGAGCCAGAGGTGAGCTGATGTAAAGCCAGGAGCTGCGTCTGGGTTTCCCAGATGAGCACGAAGGCCCGAGAACTTGAGCCATCCTCTGCTGCTTTCCCAGGGCTTAAGCAAGGAGCTGGATTGCAAGTGGAACCACCTGGACACCATCTGACATGCCAGTGGAAAGCTGGAGGATTAGCCACATATGCTAGTGTGCTGCCCTGTTGCTCACCACCCCATGTTTCTAGCCAAGTAATCTGACTCTAAAACTTGCTTTCTTTTTTTTTTTTTAAACTTTATTGTAAGGATTTTTTTTTTTTTAGATTTATTTACTTTTGTTGAAAAGGCAGATATACAAAAAGGAAGATCTTCCATCCGCTAATTCACTCTCCAAGTGGCTGCAACAGCTGGAGCTGTGCCAATCCAAAGCCAGGAGCCAGGAGCTTCCAGGTCTCTCACGTGGGTGCAGGATCCCAAGGCTTTGGGCGGTCCTTGACTGCTTTCTCAGACCACAAGCTGGATGGGAAGTGGGGCTGCCGGGATTAGAACCGGCGCCCATATGGGATCCTGGCGCATTCAAGGCTAGGACTTTAAAAACCTGATTTGTAGCAGTAACCATAAAGGTTGTTGAGTGGCTCTGCCGAAGTACTTAAAACCTTCATGACATAAAGTTGAGGCTGAATTAGGGTTGAAAATCACAGTGATTTTAGGCTCATGTTCTTAAAACGGTGATGGGCAAGTGTTGCAGCCGGAAGCTGCCACTAGGGGTGCTGCTATCCTGAACTGAAGGGCCTGGCCTTGAGTCCCTGTTTTGCTGACCTGGCTTCGTGAAAATACATACCACAGGAGACAACAAGTGATGCACAAGGAATTGGGTCCCTCATAACTGCGTAAGTGGCCCAAAAGGGTTCCAGATTTAATTAGCCCTATGCAGCTCTGTCTATTGCAGTCATTTGGAGTATGAACCAGTAGGTGGCAGCTATTTCCCTCTTTTCGTGTCATTCTTTCAAATAAATAAAGTAAGGCTTTTTTAAAGATTATTTTTATTTGGGAGAGAAATCTTGCATCTCCTACTTAGATGCAGAGGCCCAGAGACTTGAGCTATCCTCTGCTGCCTCCCAGGCCATTAGCAGGAAGCTGGATCAGAAGTGGAGCTGCTGGGACTGGAGCTGACGCCCACATAGGACGCTGGGGCCACAGGTGGAAGCTTAGCCTGCTACTCAGCGACACCAGCCCCAAAATAAAGTACTTTTTTAAAAGGTTGTAAAGTAAACTAAATAAATGGCTTTGAGCATCAAATAGATCATAATTATCCTACAGTTATATGCTATGATCAGATTTAATGCCTATTAAATTTAACTGTTTTGCTGATTTGCATATTTGTTTCTTTACAGATTTCTTTACCTACAGGAAAAAAATTGACACTCTGCATCCTGGCAGTTCATTTAAGAATCTGAAATTGGGGACTTTTAAATTTGGACATGGCTAATCGAGGAGCAACGAGACCCAATGGGCCAAATACTGGAAATAAAATATGCCAGTTCAAACTAGTCCTTCTGGGAGAGTCTGCTGTTGGCAAATCGAGTCTAGTGCTTCGTTTTGTGAAAGGCCAATTTCATGAATTCCAAGAGAGTACCATTGGGGGTGAGATTTTCTTTCTTCACTGCTTCATTTATTCTAATCATACATTGACAAAGAATACTTTTGTGTTCCAGTTGGGTGGCTGTGGATACCTAAACAGGTCATACAGTCAAGAAAAGATTTTCAAATCTACCTTGCTTTTTGTTAAGATAACATCTGTTAACATTTTGATTTTTTTGTTTGCTTGTTGTTAATCCCACCGTGGTTATATACGAGCTAAGATATACATACAAACATGAGTGGAATCAGTGTCCCAAAAAATAAGATTTGACTAGGTATGTATTTCTTGATTAATAGAAGCTTATACAATAAATGCATGCTTGTATTAAATTATATTGGATTTAGGATGGATAGTGAAAATATTAGGCTTTCATGTTAATTCTTTACATCTGGATTGTTTCTAAATTAACTTGCCAGTTCTTCGAGTTAAGTAAATTTAGTTACTACCAAGATATACACATAGCACTGCTCCGAGGGTAAGGAAAAAATGGGTGATTAATGGCAACAGACATACCAAGAAAGTGGAACTGAGGCAAAGTCGTGGGGCAAGAGCTCTTGTACTTCAGTTTCCCCTGCAAAATGAACAGGGGAACCTTTGAACTTGATGAGTCTTGTTTTGCAAGGCATATGTATTTGAGTAGTTATATGTTAGGATATTTACAAATGTATGCTTTTTAAAGGCAAGCTTTTGTAATGCATAAAACAGATACATAAACACTGATGTGTAACAACTTGGAATTTATCAAAAAGCAGAACTTTATTTAACAGATGTTCTTAACCAAATGTGCTTGAATTCTATTGGTAACCTCAGGCCTTTATAATAAGATAAATCGGTGGGCTCGTCCTGACTTTCCAATAAGGGAAATGAGCTAGGAAGCCCTGAGAGGATTTCTCCTTCAGTTGACTCCACAGTGTTATGGGGATCTATAGGCTTCTTTGACTTGCGTATTAGAGTGTTTCTTAGTGGCATTTTTTGTGGATTTGTGTGTGTGTGTGTGATATTACTGAGCTTCAGAAATGTGATCTGTGGGGTTTTGAAGTCACAGCTTTTTTATGTTTCAAGGTATGTTTATGCACTATGCATTACACATCCCTTGTGTAGTGTCTTTAAATTATCTGCTTCGTAATCAGATACTACCTTAAGAAATTTTGACCTCTTCCAGAAGTCTGTGTGGCTTGTGTGGTAGGAAGAGTTTTAAGACAACTGGGTCTTCCTACTTGCTTGAACATATGCATGCTGTGCTCATTTGGGACAAAATGAGTTTGGAGGTTGCTGTTTGCTTCCCATTTTTCCTGTCACAGTGCATATTAAACATTCTTTGAAGTGCATATTGTAGTGTAGCGCTGACTTCCTGACACACTGGGGTGAGCCTAAGACTTGTATTTTCATTTTGTTTTGGATGATCCACATAGATTCTGAATTTTTTTCTGATGACACCTCAGAAAGCATGTAGCTGTCCTGTAAGTGTTCATCTATCCTGATATATGTGTGTGTGCATATTTTGTTTGTTTGTTTTTCATTATTTGAAAGGCAGAATGACCGAGATCTTCCATTGACTGGTTCGCTCTGGCAGATGTCAGCAACAGACAAGGCTGGACTGAACAAAGCCAGGAGCCAGGAACTTACATGTGGATCTCCCACATAGGCGACAGGGATCCAGAAACTTGGACTGAGTGGCTTGAATGCCTGCTTACCCAGTACTGCCTTAAATTTCCTAGGCCTTGTCCACCTTAAGGCCACTTGCCTAAGTAACCTTAGTGACCTTCAGGTTTAAACTGTGCTCCACCAATCACCCATGGCTTTTGCCTCTGGTCTGCCCTCTGGTCTGTCTAGGCTCTGGTTCCCCTTCAGGATGTTTGGAGTGGATGGACCCCTTGGTGGCTCTGTTCCCTTCACCTTTGTGAATCTGTCCCACACAGAAGCTGAGTTCATTTGGACCCAATCCCAACACACACATCCAGGAATTTCAGTTTCTCACCCAGTCTCATAACCTAACCTATCATGATATTCATGTGATTCTCATTTCCTGTCTCTCGCTCTTGCTCTCTGGGACCAGGTGCTAGCACTTGCTGATGAGGCACACCTAACCGACTGGACTCATCACCTGGGATAACTGCAGTCCCGGACTCAGAACCCAGTTGGGACTATAATGTCCTCGGGGGGAATCCAGCAGTGTAATTGCTTCAGCATGTTGTTTTTGTTTGTTTGTTTGTTTAAAGATTTATTTATTTTTACTGGAAAGTCAGATATACAGAGAGGGGGAAAGAGAGGAAGATCTTCCATCCAATGATTCACTCCCCAAGTGAGCGCAATGGCTGATGTTATGCCGATCCAAAGCCAGGAGCCAGGAACTTCCTCCAGGTCTCCCATACAGGTGCAGGGTCCCAAAGCTTTGGGCCGTCCTCGACTGCTTTCCCAGACCACAAGCAGGGAGCTGGATGGGAAGCGGGGCTGCCAGGACTAGAACCGGTGCTCATGGGATCCGGGCATGCAAGGCGAGGACCTTAACCACTGCGCCACCACGACGGGCCCGCATCTGCACATTTTAAAATGCTTGTACCACACCGTTGTCTCTGCTGCTTTCCCGAGTCCGTCAGTCTCCAGCTGCCCCTCTGCTGTTTCTGGAATGTGCCCTTCCTGCTTCTCCCTGGCTAATGGTTCTCTGTGTGAATATGCTTTTCCCTATTCCTAGGTTATATATATATTTGTAATGAAGAATTTTTCCAAATTGCCTTTTGTAATGCCTGATACCTTAATGTGCTTGGGTTTTTATGCTCGTGAAATACTGGCATTCTTATAGATGAAATTGCATTTTTCTAAAGAGCTGACATATTTTAAAGCCTGTGTGTGTGTGTGTGTGTGTGTGTTTGCTTGCTGAATAGGAAGTGGAACAACCAGGACATTATGGGATCCTGGTATGTGCAAGGCGAGCACTTTAACCACTAGGCTCCCACCCCGGGCCCACACTTTATTAGGCACATTAGCAAGGAGTTAGGATTTTAACTGGGATACCAACATAGCAAGCAATGGCTTAACCTGCTTATTGCCAACCCCAAGTGTTTGATTTTTTTGTGTGTCCTCTTTATTGATATTGCTACGAGGTAACTTTTTTGTAGTTTTCTTAATTATTAGTGATGCTAATTTTCTGAATTGTCTTTACACATTTATCATGAAAATTTTAAGGATTTTCCCAAGATTTGTGCGAGCTTTCTACATATTCAAATGATTACTCTTTGCATCCATTTTCTATTCTGTTTTCCCTTGGTTTTTCATGTATGGGTCATTTTTTTTGCAAAACTGAAGCCTCAAATTCTTACATAATCAAACCTGTTAGTCTTATATAGAATTTTTTGTTCAGTTAAAATGAAGTAATTTTTGTGCCAACTAAATACACTTCCCCTTCGGCGTGTTGGTGGTGCCTTAGTGTATATCGCACATTGTAGGCCTTTGATACTTTCAGGGTTAACATGGCATTGACTACTGTTCCTAGTTGGCCGCACCAGCTGAGGCAGGTTTGGAGTCTTGCGGTTCGTGCTCTCTGCCAAGCTTGCCGTCGGGGCAGGGCTAAGCTGCCACGCAGGCCAGCACCTGCATCCCAACTGCATCCCAACACAGCTTTGTTTTTCTTTATGTGTTGTCGCGTACACCGTGATAAAGGCTGTTTCTTTGTGAAATGTGGGCCTGGAAAGAAGTTCAGCTGCTAGTGCTGGTGATGGAAGTGTGAAGAGTGGGAAGAGAATATGAAGAGGTCTAAGTGGTGATTCTTAGCCAGAAAATAGACGTTTTGGATAAAGTGGTTTGGCAGATGAGGTAGGTTTGTGGTTAGTTACTATTTATACAATATTGATGTGTAGTAACGTATACTTTGGCAGAATCTGGTTTTATATCTTCATAAATTACTAGTAATGCATATTAAGGAGTACTGAACCTTTATTTTTAGGCCTCACTTAAAGTCTTACTTCACTGAGTTGTAGAAATAAAGTTCAGCGCTAAATAATATTTGAAACTTGAGAACTTTGGTGTCATGAAAGTTTTGCAGTATACTCTACTTAGCAGTTTCTTAAAATATTATCTTGGGCCCGGCATGATGGCCTAGCAGCTAAAGGCCTTGTCTTGAATGTGCTGGGATCCTATATGGGTGCCTGTTCTAATCCCAGCAGCTCCACTTCCCATCCAGCTCCCGGCTTGTGGCCTGGGAGACTAGTTGAGTATGGCCCAAAACCTTGGGACCCTGCAAAGTTCCTGGTTCCTGGCTTCAGATTGGCACAGCACCAGCCATGGTGGTCACTTGGGGAGTGAATCATCGGACAGAAGATATGTCTCCCCTCTTTTCCTCTCTGTATATCTGACTTTGTAATAAAGATAATTTAAAACAACAACAGAATACTATCTTGTTCCAGTAATATTTTTATCCTTATGGCAAAAACTCAGTCTCTGAGCCTCTAAAACTAATCTTTCTCCTCTCCAAGTTTGGCTGTTTTACTGTATCACAAGAACAATAGTGTAATGTTACCAATTTAGACAACATCTTGATGGTGTTTTTATTTAAGATTGTGCTTTAGTTGTATAGGTTGAATATTTTTATTAAAATATGTCTGATCAAAATACTTTTTGCATATTTGAATATAGATAATGAGATCTAAATATAATTCATTCATGTTTCATGTATCCCTTACACAGGCAGCCTGAAGATGCTTTAACTTGTACATCACAAATGCCAGTACAGAATTTCCCACATGGGAACAGCATGTCAGCGTCACAAAAAGTTGTCGTTTTGGCGCATTTATGCTGGGTTTTCATTCAGGTTCAGCCTTGATAATAATGACATGTCTTTTTTTTTTCTGATTGTGAAAGTATCTCCCTATTTAAGTGTTATCTAAAGTGCTCCTTGAATGGTTCCATGTCCTGTTAACTTCAGACATCTGAATGAACTAGGGTTTGTATTTGCTTAGTACATTTTTCAAGGAACCTTCCAGTGTAGAAAAAGAAAGATATGTAAACCAGTGAGACATTGCACGGGTTGTTGCACAGGGTCCCTGGGAGCAGAGCTAAGCATTGCGGGTGTGGGATGAAGGAAAGGTTCCTGGGCACAGAGAGGAAGGAGGTGATGATTGTCTTCAGCAATTTGATTGGAATCCACTCCCTTTCTACCATGTGTTTTGACAGCCCATTAGTATGAGACAGTTACTGACTTCAATCTCTTGTAGCTGAATTAAACTTTTTTTTAGCTGATGCCTTTGGGTTTTTTTTTTTTTATGATGGTCTTGTTACTTTCAAATAATATTCTCAACTATTTATTACTTACTACAGAGACGTGGAGGAAGCTTTTGGCTCCTGGCCTTGGATTGGCTCAGTCCTGGTCATTGCAGCCACTTGAGGAGTCAGCCAGGGGATGGAAGATCTTTTTCCTTCCTTTCCAATAAAATTAAATGTTATTTTAAAATGTAATCTCTAATTAATACCATAACAAGCTTTAAAATATAGTGAAAATTTGTAAGTTTGTGGCTCACTACCAGGATCTTAATATGTAGGTAGCATTGAATCACAGGTCTTGTAAATATTTAAAGCTATTGCTAATGGTTTAAGTATGCAGTACTTTGATTTTCCAGGTGTTTTCTGTGATATGAAAACTTGAAGGACATGATTAACTTATTATGGGCATTTTATTCTTTCAGCTGCTTTTCTAACTCAAACTGTGTGTCTTGATGACACGACAGTAAAGTTCGAAATATGGGACACAGCTGGTCAGGAACGATACCATAGCCTAGCACCCATGTACTACAGAGGAGCACAAGCAGCCATTGTTGTGTATGACATCACGAATGAGGTGAGTACTGGGGTATTCCCTGGTGAAATTAGTTTTACTCTTTGTTTTGTTGAGAATATTCATTCAGTGAAGTCTTTTGAAGTGCTTTTATTATTTTTTTTTTTTCCCTAGCCATTGCAATTTTCTTGTGAGTTAGTGTTTTTAAAAATACCATGAAGGTTTGGAACTTCCTTTATACATTGATTCATGTAAATATATTAGAGGAGATATTGAACCGTAGTCGCCCGCTATGCTGTTCAGAGTACCAGGAGGTTGTTCCTTCTGTCACACTCTTGAGTGATACACGTGTTTCAGATTCCTGTGGCCTTCGCAGCCTCTAAGAATCACTTTTCTATGCTCAGATAGGTAGTGTGTTAAAGCTCCAACAGAGAAGCAACATTCTGTATCTTTGTGTCTGACACCACTGTAAAAAAACAAAAATATTGGTTTATATAGAAGTAAGATTTAGATAGCGAGAGAAATTCCATTCACTCCCAAAGTGGTCATAATGGCCAGAGATGGATCAGACCAACTCAGCCTGCAACAGTGTGTAGATCCTCCAAATGGGGCCAGCCTTCTACTACTTTCCCAGGCACATTAGCTGGGAGCTGGATGAGAAGTGGAGCAGCCAGAACTCAATCTGGAACTCAAGTGAGATGATGGTGTCACCGGAAATGTCTTGGTTTCATCCATTTTCATGCAGATCATCTCTGTTATGACTGAATAATGTTCCGTTACGTTTGTAGACCATGTGTCTTGATCCATTCATCACTGGTTTGCTTGATCACATATCTTGGTTATTATGACTAGTGATGCGGTAAAGATAGTGGACTAGGTATTTTTTTTTTTTTTATATCATGACTTCAGGTCTTTTGGATATATATGCCCGGTGGTGGCATTGCTGAATCATGGCAGTTTTTCCTAGTTTTTAAGAAGTTGAGGCTGAGTTGGTGGTGTGACAGGTCTATCTTCCACCTACCTGTCCCAGTCTCATATTAGGTCCAGTTCAGGTCCTGGCTGCTCCACTTCCCTTCCAGTTCCCTGCTTATGGCCTGAGAGAACACCGGAGGATGGCCCAAAGCTCTGGGCCCCTGCACGCATATGGGAGATCTGGAAGAAACTTCTGGCTCCTAGCTTCAGACCATCCCAGCTGTCAGTTGTTCCCATGTGAAGAGAGAACCAGCAGATGGAATATCTTTATCTGTTATTCTGACTTCTCTGAGTAAATAAGCCTTTCGGAAAGTCATCCTGTTCTTTTCCATTGTGTCTGTACTAGTTTAGATTGCAGCAGTACCCATGTGTACATGTGTTGTAATGTCTCACTGTAACCAGTTAATATAGCAGTTGTTACAGTAAAAGGAAAATGTTTAAGCTGAAAGTACCACAGTGGTCCTAAAAATTTCTATCCTAGAATCACATTGGACACTTTCAAGCCTTCACAAAGATGCTTGCTAATCAGTTTTTGGTACCATGTCAAACAGCTGTTTCTTTGTTTAACAGGAATCCTTTTCCAGAGCAAAAAACTGGGTTAAAGAACTTCAGAGACAAGCAAGCCCTAACATTGTAATAGCTTTATCAGGAAACAAGGCTGACCTAGCAAATAAAAGAGCTGTGGATTTCCAGGTATGTTGAATTAAGTGTTGATTTGAAGACATGCAAGTTTTGTAAATATTAGTAGTACTGTGTAAGTTGATTATTTTCTTGACCTTAACAAGGAAGTGTTCAGAGTAAAGAAGTGTACGAGGCAGGAAGTGATCACTTCTTCCCACGGACACTTCGGGTTAGCGTCCTTCCCAGCCCCTCTCTGCTCTTTGCCCAGTATATTTCAGTGCATATGTGTTTCTACATTGTAGGACACTTTCCAAAGCTTATAGAAAAATAAAATACATATTTATTTTAGTTTTAAAAAAATTGAAATCCCATCCATAAAACATGGTTCCAAGGGTTTATGAAGCCCCCCGGAAGGGAAGTGGAGCTGCCAAGAATGAATTGGTGCCTGTATGGGATACCAGTGGATGCCAAGGAAAGAATTTAGCCACTAGGGAGTTTGGCTATAAATATTCGGCGTGTAATACTAGAGATGGCATCATTCTCTTCATTGAATGTGTGATCAATGGAATACATGTGCCAGGTGATACTACTAGCCTTTGCAGTCTCCAGGACAGCCACCTCTTCAACATAAAATGTTAGAGCACTTAAATGGCGGTTGTAAGTGACCCTGACACGTAACGGGTTAAGAAACTCATTTGTTTTCTTTGTCAAATGGGAAAGACCATTGGATAGTCCTCAGAACAGCTCTGTGGATCAAAGACAATTGGGTATGATAAATTGTAAAATATTATAGAAATAAAGTGGGGATAATACGAACCTACTTCAAAAATTTGATGGAAAGCGAAATTAAGAGTTTATCTTGATGTAAAACATTTTGAAAGCTGTGCATATAATAAGATCTTCAAAAAATTTGCAAATATGTATAGTAAAACTGAATATTTCTAAGGAACGTATCTTTTTGTTTTGTAAACAGGAAGCACAATCCTATGCAGATGACAATAGTTTATTATTCATGGAGACATCAGCTAAAACATCAATGAATGTAAATGAAATATTCATGGCAATAGGTAAGATGAATAATGCTTGCTTTCAAATTATATAAGCAGAAAAGTAGGGAATTTATGTAATTGTATCCATTTTTAAATTATTAATTTTTTTCTGTGATTATGTTACTTTTCTAAGTCTCTACCACCAATCAATACTTTTAAATAAGGCTTTTAAATTTGAAATACTATTACCTGTAAAATTGCAATATTAGTAATATAGATAACTTTCTTCCAGATGTTGGCATGATAATTCTGGCACATTTTCCAAAGGTTTCACAGAAAGAGAAATTTAAGTATTTGATTTTTGCTTATTGTAATCCTCTCCTTTCCCTTATCTGAGGGGAAGATACATTTCAGGATCTCTGAGTACCTGGAACCAAAGTTGCACTCGACTGTATGGTGCCATTTACATGTTAAGTGAGCAGTTCATTATACGCCAGCCCTCTTCAGTTCTATGAGCTGAGATGCTGCAACATAAATAGAATGCATTTCCTTTTCCTCCATCATAGTTTCATAGATTGCTTTCCAATACATCTTAGCATTTTCAACACCAGATTTTTTTTTTAGTCTTCACTTATGAAGTGAGCTTTGACCTTTTCATTTAAAGGAAGCGCTGTAGTTTCTCTGTGGTACATCCAAATTGCCAGTGTCGTCATTGGTGTGTTTCAGTGGCCATAGGTGAGGTAAGGGTTACTCAGTGATGAGCGCAGTGGCAATTCATCTTTTTGTTTTTAAATTTATTTGTTTATTTGAAAGGCAGTTAAGGGAGAGAACACCTCCGTCTTCTGGTTTACTCCCCAAATGGCTCCAGTGACTGGTACTTGGCTTGACTACAACCTGGAGCTTCAACTGGTCCTCCCACATAACTTCTGGGCCGCAAACAAGTGGGCCATCTTTCACTGCTTTGCAAGGCACATTAACAGAGAACTGGATCAGAAGTGGAGCAGCCAGGACTTGAACCGGTACCCATATTGGAGGCTGACACCACTGGCAGTGGTTTAACCCCAGCCCCAGGACAGTCAGTCTTTACAGTAAATAAGAAGCTATAAGGAAACACTACAGTAGAAGGAAGATACACTCTGATATTAATGTACTATTTAGGCATAATTGTATTGCTTTTTTTCCCCCAGTATTTTCTCTCTTTAATTCAGATATGTTGATGAGGTCACTTAGAAGTTGGCCTCTGAGTCACCTGCTTGAAGGTGGCAGTAAGATCGGTCTTAGCAGAGTAGGTCATCCTCAAGCTTGAGAGCGATCAGTGTGTGCAGGTGCACTTCAGAGTCAGTCCACTGGGGCATATGTGATTCTGCTCTGAGTGACCCAGCATATCTGCCATCTTGGAGATCCAGATCAGCTACATCTAGCAGATAGATTCATAACCATTACCCTGTGTAGAACTTAGCAGAGTAACTGCCAATGTGGCCATTTCTGAAAACCACAGAAATTTGATGAAAACAAAATTGAGAATTAGTTTTGAAAGGTGGGGTCTTCAAGATCAGCCCAGTTATTTAGTAGGCTCTGTTATTGGCCAATCATGTCAGTCCGTAGGAAAAGCTGTGAGAATTGGGAAGAAAATGAGCGCTGTACAATCTGTTCTGGGTTGTGGTTAGGTTAAACATAGAGGGCAAGGTGTCTTGAGCTACCCTTTCTGCAACACAACCAGGAAAGAAATTTTTCTTAAGACAGCAACCAGTGTTTTGGCATTTACTAATTGCTTGATAAATATTTGAAAAGAATAAGCATGGTTATGTGATACTTTGGGATAACCTAACTAGAAAGAATTATAAAAAAGCATGTGAGTGTAATTTTAGTATTAATATTCTGATTGTTTATTTTTTTAAAATATCTCATAGCTAAAAAGTTGCCAAAGAATGAGCCACAGAATCCAGGAGCGAATTCTGCTAGAGGAAGAGGAGTGGACCTGACGGAACCCACACAGCCAACCAGGAGTCAGTGTTGTAGTAACTAAGCCTCCAGTCTGAACTCGCTGGAGCGTTCTGCTTCCCATGTGTAAATAACAATGGAAATGGAGCGTTGAACCAGCCCAGGATGACTTCAAAAGGAAGAGACTTACGATAGTGTCGAGTTTCTAATTCAGATTTTAAGTGTTTTTGAACTTAATTTTTAATACCATGCATGTATTCCTCTGACTAATGTTTCGGCAGTAGGAAGGAATGGGGAGTGCCCTGTGCACTGGTTTCAGTGGAAGGTCAGGGGGACTTCTCATCCTAGAAACAGACAGATGACTCTGGGCCCTCAGGTAAGCAGCGAGCTTCTCCAAACTAACAGTCGTCACTCTGAAAAGAATGAAGAGCTTACTTGGGCTTTTCAGAAAGCATTTTTAGGAGATTCTGGGCATATTTATGCTTACAGTATTCAGGCAAATAGTCACTTTTCTTATTATCTATACTTAAAGTATACTTGCACATTTTAATAAATTAACCACAAGAAATATCTGGAGGATAAGGGGAGATGATCTTTAGAGGCATCTAATTTATAGCCAGTCCTGTTATTTTTTAAAGTGGGTTTTTAAAAGTCAAATGGAACCCCATCTCATTTTAGGGACATGAAGACTGATCAGTGCAACTTCCTGGCTAGTGTTCTCTGCAGGCGTGAGCTCGTCCCGTAAGAAAGAAACCAGGCGTCTGTGGTTTCTGTCTTATGCCTGCTGGCTACTGCATAAGTCCTGTTTGGGGGCAGGGAGGGAGCCTTTGGTCCCTTGGACGTAATACAGTCAATGCACTAACAATTATGTACATTTAAACTTGATTATTTTAAATTGGATCTTCAGCTGTACTGTAAATAGGGTACTGCAATGTAGTCTCCGTATATGTTTATTACTTTTCTGTAATATTTAAGAGTTGCTTAAAGTATACAAAATGTACAGTTACTAAAATATCTAACTTGTCTTTCCCCTTTGAAAAGAAGGGGTTTCAGTTGTTCTTACATGAGAAGAACCATAATAGACAATATTCCTGTAATTTGTAACATAAATATCGCGATGTTAGTAACAATCTTGCAACCTTGTTTTCCAAAGTTCATTTTATTTTGATCAGTTTGGTATATTGCACTAATTACTTTAGGAATTTTCATTATATGAAATCTACCATGTGTCAGATGATTTAATCTAAGTGTCGGACTGCTAGCAGAACTTGTAAATTACAGTCATTCAGAATTAGGAACAGTTCACCGTGTTTAGTTTTATATTGAGGTGCTCAGGTTGGAATAAAGTGGTATAAAAGCCAAGGGTCGCGTTTTTCTCTTTTTTTGGTTCAAAGCAGTGAACATAAATGGCACTCCAAAAAGTCGCTGTTGGGTTTTCTTTACTGTGCTCCTGAGCACTCCTTGGCGTGGTGTTGATCTAGTATCCCAGTGTCTGGCTCACTGAATCCTTGTCTGGCATGCTATGCTGTCCTGGGTCATTGGAGCTTCTTTACGTAGGAAATCGTCACTAATCCCATTGAGAAACACTACCATAACGGTGATGTTGTCCCTGGAACCCGCGCTTAGAGCGGCGCGTACAAGCTTGCGGCTGACGTGCTCGGCTGCGCTGTCGTAGAAGCTCTGGGCGCCTGATTGCCTGTCACTGTCATGACCACCTCTGCAGCTTTCCGCTTCCTTCTCTCTGTCAGGTTCAGGATTAGTCTTCTCTGGTGGAAACACTTCCCCATTTTCGTGATTATGATTGGGATATTCTGAATGTTTGAAATCTGACAAACCATTTGAATCTGTGGTCAACACACATTCTTTAGTTTCCAGCTTACACTCAAACAACACACGGATGTGCCCTTCCGACGCGGTCGTGCTGGGTGCCCTGACCGGAAAAAGCAGAGGCTTTATGTCTGGTTGAGGTTTGTTTTGCATGGTGGAATCGTGTGTGTCTTTATACATCTGGAATTCTGTTATTGTCAGTGCAATGACTTCCTTTTTATCCAAAACTTCCCAAAGTCCATTAGTAGCTAAGATAAGGAATTGACACAAATCATCCACAGGGACAGAAATAGTTTGAGGTACTGGGATAAAAAATTTTTTCAGTCTGAGATTTCCATGAAATCCAAGTCCTCGAGTGATTTCTATTTCTCCTTCTAGGAGCCCGTATGGTTCATTTGAAGTAATCACTGCTCCATTCTGAAGCACTCTTCTTCTTTCATTTGTGTTTCGTGTAGTGTGTTCTTTGGTCAGACAAAAACCTTTTCCATTTCTGCATAAGACTGCTTGCACATTGCCTAAAAAGTTATTTAAGAAAAGAAGTTATCCCAAAGACTTGACAGACATTTGATCAAAGTACCCAGTTTAGTAGTTGTATGTTTCAGTGCTAGGAAAGCACAGGCCATGTGGAAGTGCCTCTTTGGAACATGTGCAATTGTAATCCAGTTCATCGTGACCTAGATTTCAAACTAGGAAACCAGTTTTTTCTATGTTGTTAAACAACTTTCAATTTAGAAAATGCAAGACTACTTCAGAAAGTACATGAGATGGGATTTAGGGCAAAAATTCATAATTTTTGTTGTGTATTTTCTGTGAACTTTTGAGGTTTATTTGTATTGTACTTAATATGAAATACAGATGATAACATCTACATTAATTTCAATGTTTAATTAATAAACTAGCTCTGAATACATTAGTGAATTGTTGAACTTTCCTTTGTGGCCAGCAGCATATTTAAACAACTTTCTCGATATAGGATTTTTTTTTTTTTTTTTTAAGATTTATTTTTATTATTTTTTATTGGAAAGGCGGATATACAGAGAGGAGAGACAGAGAGGAAGATCTTCCATCCGATGATTCACTCCCCAAGTGAGCCGCAACGGGCCGATACTATGCCGATCCGAAGCCAGGAGCCTCTTCCGGGTTTCCCACGCGGGTGCAGGGTCCCAAAGCTTTGGGCCGTCCTCAACTGCTTTCCCAGGCCACAGGCAGGGAGCTGGAAGGGAAGCGGGGCTGCCGGGATTAGAACCGGCGCCCATATGGGATCCCGGGCGTGCAAGGCGAGGACTTAACCACTTGCGCCACCGCGCCGGGCCCTGTTTTTTTTTTTTAACTCAGAAGACCTGAAAGTATTTAGTTCATGGTGTAGAAATATGTAATTGTTCTGAGATGGAGTTAGTAATGTTTGAAGGTAATCTTTGAAAAATAAAATTCTTGGCACCAGCATGATAGCCTGGTAGCTAAATCCTCACATTGCAAGCACCAGTATCCCGTTTAGGTGCCAGTTCCTGTACCAGCTGCTTCACTTGCCGTCCAGCTCCCTGCTTTGGCCTAGGAAAGCAGAGGCCAGCCGAAGCCTCGCAACCCTGCAGCACGTGGGATATGTGGAAGAAGCTCTTTCAGCTTCAGATGAGTTCAGATTTGGCCATTGCGGCCACTTGGGGAGTGAATCAGTGGATGGAAGATCTCTCCTCTTCCTGTATATCTGCCTTTCCAATTTAAAAAATTAATATTTTTATTTGGAAGACAAATTTTTACCTAACAGACGGAGAAAGGTCTTCCTTCTGCTAACTCACTGAATGACCACAACAATGAGCTGAGTTGATCTGATACCAGGAATTTCTTTCTTGGGTGCAGCAGGTTCCCAAGGACTTGGGACTGTCCTCTGCTGCTTTCTCAGGTCATAGCAGGGAGCTGGATTGGAAGTAGAGCAGCCAGGACACCAACCGGTGGCCAAATGAGATGGTGCTGCAGGCTAATGAAATGCCTGTTACACCACTGTAAAGGCCCCATCCACATTCTATTTCAATAATAAATTGAATAGCTAAGCAAAATGTCAACAAGGAAATAGAATATTTGCATTCTCTAAAATAGCTTGTACTGACTGATATTGCTAAACTGTATAAACAATACCGTAATGATGACACTTCACAATGTTCATAGAAAAGAATAATTAGTGGAATTGAAAGGGCAGCTGAGGAAACGCTCCAGTGACAATGTCCCCACAGAGATTGAAATGTGAGCAGGAATATATACACAGATGGCCACCTTCACAAGAGTTAACAAAGCCAGCTGAAAGATCAGAGTGCCTTGTCATATCCCTAAGGAACGAGTCTGGCATTGTGTCACAGCAAGTTGAGCTGCCATCTGCAACACCAGCATCCCGTGCACCTGGCAAAGCAACAGACAGCCCATGTGGCTGAACCCCTGCCACTCACAAGGCAAGCTGGGTGGAGTTCCTGGTTCCTGGTTTTGCCCTGGACTAGCTTGGCCATTGCAACCATTTGGGAGTTGAAACAGCCCATGGAAGACCTTTCCGTTTCTTCTATATTAAACAAATACATATATTTAAAAGAACAGCTGCCTCAGCCCACCTCCCCCAACTCTAAGGAGAGTGGCACCAGGATGCCTTGTGCATGGAAGAGAGGAGACTGGAAACCAAACTGATCCCTATCCGGCACTCTGCCCTGGCATGTCCACTGACGTGTAGGGGGAGAATTTAAACTCCCATTGCCAGCAGCCTCTCCATCTCCTACCCCAATAACGTGCAAAAAGTGAAACTGCAGAGAAGCCGGAACAGGAAGCTTAGGAGCAAGCCTGTGGGTTGGGCCTAGCCGCAGCACCTGATAAGAGTCCAAGGGCCACCTCCGCAGTGGACAGACAATCCATCCATAGCATGATAAGCTTTGGTCCTATGCCCAGGCTGCACTGGTCTTAGTGGGCTCAGCCCTCTGGATATGATCTAGCATTGTAGAATTCGTGGACATGGGATAAGAAGTCTGAACCCAAGGAAAAGCCTTTTAAGGATGGACTATCCCTTTTCAGACACTAACCCAGATCATATCGAGTTCAACAAATCCATTGTACACTTGGGACAGAGCTGTGTCTGGGAAGTATTCTTGGTCTGATCAGTAAATACAGATCACAGGGCCGGGGCAAACTGCAGCTTAGGGTGCTATGTCTTGCTGAAACACCAAATGTATCCATAGAACATCCACAAATACAGATCTCTGACTAATGCTTCAAAAACCAAAGGATCTTGTACACCAACAAGAATTGAGAACTTCCAGGGAGGGACCGCATTGTGACATAGAGGGTACGGCATTCTGTGTGAGCACCAGCTTGGGTCCAGGCTGCTCTACTTCGGATCCAAGCTCCCTGCTAATGGCCTAAGGAAAGCATTGTGAGATGGCCCAGATGTCTGGGTCCCTGACACCAGGTGGAAGACCCAGATGAAGCCCCTGGCTCACGGTTTCAGCCTAGCCCAGCCTGGGTCACGGAGGCTACCTAGAGCGTGAATGAGAGGATGCAGAATTCTTTCTCTGCCTCTCCCTCTCTCTGTAACTCTGAATTTTGAATAAATGAACAAATATATCTTCGAAAAAATGCAAAAAGAACTTTCAGAGAACTATAACCTTAATCACAGAGCAAAATCAGGTGCCAAAAACCAATCGTCTAGGAAACGAAACTGCCAAATTCTTAGATGAAGATTTCCAGGTAGCTGTTTTAAGGAAATAGCAAAATTCAAGAAAACAGAGAATTCAATCTGAGAGAGATTGGTTTGAAAGAGGGAAGTCATTAAACAGAACCAAGAAAGAGCTTTTCAATTGAAAAGTGAAATTCAAAATGTGAGTTAGGGGGCCTGTGCATGGCCCAGTGGGCTGACCCTCCACCCTCAAGCACCAGCATCCCATATGGGGACTGGTTCGTGTTTGGACTTCGATGCTTCCTACCCAGCTCCCTGTTTTGGACCTGGGAAAGCAGTGGAGTATGACCCAAAGCCTTGGAACCCTACACTCACGTGAGAGACCCAGAGGAGGCTCAGCTACTGCCACTGCAGTTATTTAGGGAGTAAACCAGGGGACGCAACATCATTCTAACTCACTATAACTCTGCCTTTCCAATAAAAATAATTCTTAGCCAAAAAATTCTAAAAGGGAAAAAAAGCAAAAGACCTCAACTAGATGCTATTTACAAGAAACTCAGTTCCCCTCTAAGATCACATGTAAACTAACAGAGTGATATTTGCTACTCCATGCAAATAGGAACTAGAGCAATGCGGAAGTGATCCTGCTTGTGTGAGATAAGACAGAATTCAAAGAAAAAGCAGTAAAAAGCGATCAAAGACATCATTATATGATGATAAAGAGTTTTAATATTTCAAGAGGAAACAACATCTATAAATATATATATACCCAATTGGCACACTCAAGTATATTTAGAAATGTATATTTTTTAAATATTTATTTTTATTGGAAAGGCAGATATAGAGAGGAAAATCTTCCGACCGATGATTCACTCCCCCAAGTAACCTGTGC